ATGATCTTGTTAGCTAAAGCTTGTTCTCGTTGTAGCCACATTATCAATCATGTACGTGGTCAACTTCCGCTAAGAATAAGCCTACGTCACGGAAGCATTGCCTGCTTTTCCCCGCCTCCTCCTCTTCCGAATTTTTTTTCAGATTTGCTTATTAGATTATTATTAGATTGATTATTAGCTTGCCATTTGTCTAGTGTTACATTAAGAACCATTTAGAGCACTATCAGCAAACAGCCGGGCGCGAAGTTCTTCGGCAATGTTTGTTCGGATTTCCCCGCCGTCACGATCTTCGGCGCTATGTATAGCTCTATAGACTATCCGCGAAATCTTTTCGCAAACGGGCCAATCTGCAGAAAATTTGCATCCCGTAATAAAAGTTGCCCGAGCGCAGACTGTGTAAATAGCTTCATTTCCATATCTAGTCTCCCCAAATAGCGCTTCTTCAACAAATTTATGCAACGACAATCGAGCTGCACTGTTCGTCTGTATAATGTGTCTATTTACTTTTTACGCGAAATTCATCTACATCATGATTGCTCAAAATCGTTCGTGCATGGCGATATCCAGGTCACAATTAAATTGCAATTTCCTACGCGTTTTTGTTGACGACGAAATGGAAATGTGACTGATACGTGCTTGTCGCCACGTTCTAGATTCTTTGTCTAATCAAACTTTGTAGGTGGTGCCTTTGCGAGGAATAGGAGTACTGCTTATGAAGTATGTAAGGATCACTTCGCTGTTTGTTATTAAGCGCTAGCAAAGTAAAATCTGGGTCTTTATAAGACGTAGTTATAAGATATATGAGGAAGAGAGTATGTAAAGAGGAGTACGTAGGCAGCTGGAACCGCGTTCACAGCTGCGGCACGTCTTATGCCAGCGATTAGCCAATCTAAGTGCTTCACGAATTGGTTTTTTGAGTTGTTGAAGCTTACTTTACTATACAATCAGGGTGTACCGTAAAATGCAAAGAAACAACAAAATACAAGGCCAGGCGGTCCTAAAACGACGGCAAATGCACACATAAAGGTGAACTCGAAGACCATAAGATTTTGTAGATCCGCTTGCCAAAATTAGTAGATGTGCAGGAAAGTACACTTGATTGAAGATAACTAGACAGCAGAATCTTACTTCTCTCAATTGATAGACCCGTTCTTATGTTGGTTGTCAACGAGACTGCGAGCGGAAGCTAGCTGTCTTAGACCCGGAAAAAATAACTTTAGAGGCAAGATGGTAAAGAATTCCGAGATATTAAGACAGAAATCAATTTCAAATAAAATTGAAATATAATTCTTTCAAAAAATTTTCTCGAAATCTGACGATGCAACAGTACTAGTCCCAAAAATCCTAGTATCCAGCCAGTGCATCGAAGAAAATATCTTGATAATAAAGTGAAAAAAAGAGTGATTCTTCAGATTTAAACAAAACAAAAGTCTTGTGAGAAAATCTCAAAATTATTCAAATTCCTTGATCTGCTATTCCTTCTACAGGATTGATTTTGGAGGGAAGTGAATTGCAGATGGGGCAGATGGCTTGAGGATTAGCGATATATGTAGGACAAAGATTTTCCTCGGAATTTTGAGCGTAGCAACAAAACAAAGCAATTAGCAGATGGTCAGAAAAAAACTAGGAGGGGAAGGATGGGAGGAGAAGAACGAATCTATCATGTTCATGCAAAAGTATCACTTTACGAACAATACAGGACAGTACTACTGATCAGGGTCCGGCACGAGGTGGGCAAATGTCAAGTTGGAAGACGCTTTATATGGACAAAAGGGATGTCGTAGATATATTAGGTTGATGGATAATTTCTGTTACACTTTTTTCGTAAGATTGTGGAAAGTTTCAGAAGCTCTCTAGAATCTTCAAGTTGCTCCATATGTAGGGCGCAGGGCGCACTGCATATGGAGCAAGGGCGCTCCACTGCAGGGCGTACACAACAGTACGACTGATGCCGCAAATGCACATTAGCTAGCGGCTTTACGTCAACTTTATAAAAACACTTAAAGTTGTCATTTTTCCTTTGATTTTTTCTCTGCATCTCATTGTGTTTTTCTCCCCCATAATATTTTTAGAACATATTTTTGCATCCTCTTTTATGGTAGCACTTTGATGCTACTAGCATGCCAAAAAAGGGGTGAAAAACAACTCAAAAAATTCAAGGATTCGTCGAAAGTTTTTCTTTTTGCGTGCATCGTGTAGGATTTGATACGGAAAGGTTGGAAATAATTTTTGTTTTCAAAGAATGTTCTTCATGTCAAAATGCCAATGTGCACTGACAAGGCGCAACATGTAGCTCAAGTGATCGTGTGCGGACATGATTGCGCCATCCCCTATGTTCGCTAAAAACTATGGACCATACCGTGCCCGAATACCACATCGCCAGTTCCCAATCACCTGAAAGGATGCCAACCCGCTGACAAAAATGTTCATAAAACGTACTCCCACCGACAAAGTGGGTGTTTTGCGCATGGACCGCGAATCTAACAGTACCGGCGGGTAGACCTTTACACCCCGCCAACACTCCTCAAACATAAAATTTTCGAAAGTTTCTTAGATTTTTAAAAAATAAAAATAAAAGTGTAACAGAAATTATCCGCCAACCTAAGGCCCCAGACAGACTTCACGCGATTTGATCGTCGCGATTCAATCGCCGCGATTTCCATTCATTTCCATTTTACATTCAAAAACTTCGGGCTGGAAAAGTATCACAATCGAATGCAAGTTGATTGGCATGGAATGATGTTGTAACAGTTGTCTTGTCGTGATCCAGTCGCCACGATCAAATCGCGTGAAGTCTGTCCGGGTCCTAATGGTTTATATGTACATGTCCTCAAGTTGCTACACGACTGAAATGCAGAAACAGGTCTTGTTCGCCCGTCACCTTCAAAAATCCCAATTTCCTTCCACGTGATTGACTTCATCGTTTACAGCGCAACTCAACGGTATGACCAAGAAGTTTAAGTACTAGGCTGTTTAAAAAGTTCTGTCCGATTTTCAATTGCTTTGTTTCAACGCAACTGTTTTCTTAGGGTATTGCACTTATGGCATTATCATAAACATCCAATAGAAGTACTTTTCCTGCTCTTTCTAGTGGTCGCTGAGGCTTGGTGAGGCTTGGCGAATCAACTTTCTAGTGATATCTTAAGCCCGGAAGCATTGCCAAAATGCATTCATGCTCAAGAAAAAGTTTCAATGAAGAGAACTTCCGCAGTATTCATAAAACTGAATGTGTAATATTCTATAATGGGTGAGGCTATAATAGGGTAACATAAGCACACTTTTTCTCCGACGTAGAAAATGTCTTACATTTCAATTTTTGTTTTTAAGATAGAAGACAAACTCAGTTATTCAACAAGCGACAACAATCTACATATAGCGACAGGTAATGCATTCAATGTTGCATATGTTAGAGTAGAGCGAGAGCAAACGGGAACCATCGGCCAATTGGCTTTCTTCGTTTACGACGGCAAGAAAAATCAAATATTGAAAAGTCGGCATATTTTCGCAAACGGAAAAGAGCTCAAATAATGGATTTTTCAATTTGCTCGCAAATATTTCTATGCAGCGAAAATAACTCGAATTCTCTCTAATCGCAAAAGAACCTCTGAAGTATAGGCTGCTCAATGATGGCAGCCAAATATGTCTGCCCATCCTCATATGGAAGCATTAGTAAGTCAAACTGGACGGTTTTGAAGAAAACCTTGCAAAATTCATAAAATTATCTCTTCTCTCTCGCTTGCCTTCCTTACATGTCATATAGTGCTTGTGATAGCCATAAATTCGCTCAATTCAACAAAATTTGATTTGTTCAAAATTGCTAATTCTGAAAAAATCATAAGATTTTAGATGAAAAAATCGCAAACCGGACAGAACTTTTGAAACAACCTAGTATAAGCGGACATGGAAGGAGGAGCATAGTGCGGAGTACTCCGAAAGCTATGTGACTGAAGGTTGTGATTAGCTTTTTTCTGAAAATTTCTCACTAGCACAAAATGATAGAATGCTTGATTGCAACGAACAGATGACGATACGGTACGAAATTTGGTGTGTGTACGCGCAGTTACTAAGGAACAAAGTATCAGAAATTATAAGAAATCTAAAAAGCGGACTTAACTTTTTTCAAAGTAGGTGGGCGATTGCCCACCTGAAGCCTACCTGAGATAGGCAAAGTTTCCATATAAGTTGTTTAGTGTTTTCATTTAAGTCTTTTCAAAATTTCCCACATAAATCTGTTCTACACCTAAAGTGTACTGTATAGTAACATTTTGATTCCAAAACTCTTCCTCTCCTCCTTGTTAGGGTCCTGAATAGCAACGAGCCGGTCCTCCTGAAGAAGAAAGAGCGCTCCAACCGAACAATCTGCACAGCTGGCCTGATGAAGTGGAAAATCGTGAAAAGCTGTAATGGCAAAGGAGAAATCGTTTTGGCGAAGTCCATTTGCCACCCTCATGCTTGGCCTAAGTATGGATATGAAAAATTTGCGATAGTACCATGATACACAAAGACTTCATTCTTACAGTAACCTCTTCTCCCTCCCCCCCCCCCCTCCCTTCACGCTCTTCGTTTCTTCCCCTTCAATTTTCTTGAACACATCTATGATTTTAGTTTCTCCATCTCCTACTAGCTAGCTTTTCTACAGTAACCGGACCCACAGAATTCAGTCTGTACCATAGGCTCCATTCCTTCCTCTTCCGCCCCCAATTGAGTACCCGTCTTAAGTAAAGCTACCATGCTTTTTCGAAACTCGATTTGTCAATCATCTGCACAAGCGCGCGCACCTAGCCGCTCATGCTGCTGGCGCTCATCCACGCCGATCCACACGACATCGAGCGCGAACGACCGCCACGACGGGGCCCCGGGGCCCCGCCCTTGCGCATTTCTCACACCCGCACACACACAGAGAGGAGAGACATCCCGAACAAGGCCCGCCCCGTAGATAGCTCAAATCTTCGCGTCTTCATATGCACTGGACGATATGCGCCAAGCCGAATAGTTCTTCGATGTTATTCTCTAGTCTATTTCTAGCTTTGGTCGTTACGACCGCCGCCGCGGTAAGCTATTTTCGGAAAAATTCACTTCTTTATAAATTCGCTTTATTCTTACAGTACTCCTATGTCACTTTGGCTAATAATTCGTGCTTCAGAAATCCTCCTTCCCTCCCTACCCTCTAATAAGCCTACTTCTCTTGAAACTAAAGCCCCTTTCTCCAATATAAACGCGTTCGTTAGACCGGTTTCTTCACTCTCGTCTATTCGATCGTCTCTCTATTGTGTCTCTCATTCACAAAAGGGGTCGATTTCTCAATTATAGCTGGTTTGTCGTAGAATTTCATTATCTTCAAGAATGCTAAAGGCTTTCTTATACACATGATTCTAAGCATCCGTCTCATTATTCAGGTTTCGAATAGCTTTGCTACTAGAGCCTGGTTAAGGGTTTTTTGGATCATTTAAGCGTCTACTGTTTTTTAAGGTTCTCCTTTTAATACTTTTAACAATGGCTTCTAATTTGCGCTGTGCTGATTTTTATGCATCTAACAAACTTCGCATGCAAAATCAACCATTCACCTAGAGCAACTTTGATTTTTCGGTAAGGCCCGAGTAATAATGCTTCTCTTTTTGCAGTTTAGTTCTTTGCTTCCGATAACAATAATATAGTAGCAGAATCTTTGAGTTTGCCAGTTTTCGTTTGCTCACTTGATAACTAAGCTTTTTTTCTTGATGAAATAACATTAGATTACAATGCATATAATTATTATACATACGCGCAAAAATTACTTATTGAATCATCATCATTAAAGCTAACTGTTCAGGCGCGAAAACGAAACAATTTTACTTCCTACTATTCTACTGTATAATAATAATAGTCTTCATTTCCACTTTGTGACTATAAGATAAAATAGTTACTCTGTTTGTAATTATCTTTCAGTGAATTCCGTGTTCGAGAAATAACGTAGTTTCATTGCAAAATTTTTGCAATCGTAGTCTCACAATAAAATGTACCATGATTTTTTGGTTGAACTTCCACTCAGCACTTTTTTTGGTTGTGTTCATGCTTCCCGCCAGAACTTCTTCTTATAAAATTTATGTGCTAGGGTCTGCGAGTTGTGTTTGGTACCACTTAAACTGAGAATAAACCATGTCAAGAAAATATAAGGTGAACTCGCGAAAAGAATTTGATTAAAGAGCCACAAAGGGCAGGCTTTTTGCATTTGCCAGTAATAATAAAAGAGAAATTACAATTTTCAAAAAATCTTCGCTTGCGTTTGCGAATAATAATAAAAGGAATTACAATACAAGTGCAACCTTCCAAATGCTCATTACTACTGAGGAAACGCCATAGGGGCTTTGTGGAGAAGAAAGCACTATCTGTTTCTTCCCGATGCTCCTCTTATTTGTTTTGTTTTTGTATCTCAGGAAGGGTAAGAATCTAGAGTTAGATCTAAACTTAGCTAAACCAGGTATATTTCCATATCTGATGTCTGGAAAGTGAGCGTGTTTACAACGAGATACCAACAATAGTAAAAAGTCCTCCCTTATATACTTCTTGCTTCTCATTCTCACTTTTGGTATTGTCTCAACTTGCAAACTCCACATTCGTTCTTACGAACGAGCCTGCTGTCTATTCTTATACCTTCTCAATCTTTTTTCTAATTATCGTTGGAGACTGAGTGGTTCTACGTATAACCAGCTAGGTCGACAGCTTTTTCAACTCCTCTGAGCCGAACCACACATAGGCTTGCTTGTCTTCTCGCGCGGCTACACCGAAATCCACTTTTTCCGGTTAAGGAGGCTACTTCAGCTTTGAGTCTGTGCGTTTCAAAGCGCTGAACTCGTAGCATTAGGTGCATTCACGGATCTCGACTTGAAGTTGGCCTTGGTTTGGCTTAGCCTAGTAAAAAGACGTCGCCACTTCAGAGCAAATTTCAAGCTATAGCTTTAGCTGCTTCAAGAGGAACGGGGGGGGGGGGGGGGAGAGGTGGAGGTAGGGTAAGGCGTACAATTGGACTGGGACCTCTTCTTAGTCGCAAAGAGTGCTTTGTTCAAGTGGAAGGGAGGGGGGGGGGGTCCACAAAGTGAGGACATCGAGAAAGTGTCCATATGGGCTGTAAAGTTTTACAATGCATTGCGCTCTATGAAGCCGCACTATAACGAGATGTAGAAAGATCTCCCGCTGTTATGCCGCTTCCGCATTCTAGGGGGGGGGGGGAAGGATGTGATCGTTCTGATTCTCACTTTCTTGCAGTCCGAGAGAAGAAGATATTCGAGGATTATAAAAGAATTCCAGATATGGTAAGAATTTAGACGGCGGAAAGGATGATGGTGTTATACGTAGGAGCTGTCGGCTTTATGGATTTTTTAGTGGTTCCGATTTGGTTCAATTTCTACTATCTCAGACGTAATTTGATCAATTTGTAAGGTGTGAAAGAACAAAACAAAACAAACCAGTCCAAAACAAATTAGTTTGCGAAACATTTGGGCGACCAAAACTTGCAATGAATCATCCGCATAAGTACTAAGAGTTTTGGAGTTGAAACATGTTCCCAAAACACGAATCCTTTTCAAATTTTGTGTACATAGTGGTAAATTTATGCCTGAAAAATCCATAAATCATGTCGGATTCATATAGTTATTATGACAACAGAAATAGTTTAAATTCTTAGTCTGCACAGTTTGGCTAATGTTGTGCCAAAGTTCCCTCACTGATAACAAAAGTATAAGGAAATCGAATTCATCCTTGAAAATCCGTGATGGAATTTTCGCAATTTTGCTGAAATTTGAAAAAATAATTTCTCTCTGATTTTCCTCCAGCTTCATAACAAAACTTGAAAAATTTTCTTGAGGGCAGAGGAATTTTTTTGGATATTGGATCTGGATTGTTTACGAAGGGTAAGATATAATTGCTGCTGAGATATAATTGAAAAAGTTCGAGTCAAATAAGAATTCTTTCTTCGCATTTATTATGTAATCTATAGAGAATATGTGGAGCTGTTTGCATATTTTGTAGTATTTTTCATTTCTATTATAACTTAATATAAAAAATGAGGCTTCTTTGAAAAAAAGCCAACTACTTTGCAATGAGCGTTGATCACTCAGATAGAACGCATTAAGTTTAATTCATTTTTCATAATTCTAAATTTTGAATAGTAAAAACAGAAGCATGCCAATCTTAACTTTTGTACCCTATCCTTCCTCATGTTCCCCAAGAATGAAGCTAAACTAGCTCATTTCGACATGTCCTCATTCCACCTAACGACTCCCATAGCCTAATTTAGTCAAGGGCAACCGTGTTGAATTTCCAAATAACACTACTTTAGCCATACTTTTTACCCCTCGAGTATTTTCAATCAAAGCACCACTCACAAAATCCACAGCACCCTTCCGTTTGTCTAGTGCCCCATATTATCCCTGCATCGTTTCAGGACTACGTTATCAAGCCTGTACGGTTACAAGGAGATGCACCATATTCCCATAGAAGACTATATGGTATACGGCGGTTAAAGGTGCGCTTCCCTTTACCGATTATTGAGCTTGCCCTTACCCCTACCTTTACCCAGGTTGTTCGGCCTTTGATGGCACCAGCTGGTGGTGACTCGGCACGAGCTGCGTCGGTACGGCGGCATCAGTCCATCGACACCGAGGCTAGCACCTTTGTTGTAGGTTCTTGCATTATTTGTGCATTTTAATGCGTAGAGGGCGTGTCTCTCTCATAAATCAATAAAAGGGCGTGTCCATCCCGCATACTTATGACAACTCGTCCATTTTTTGCGTTTCTTGCAACACAGTATGTCAGGGCTGCCTAGCTGCAAACCGAATGTCCTCTAGCTAGAAACTCAGCATTTGTCTTCCCCTCCCCCCCCCCCCTCTCCCCCCAGCTATCCATAAATTTACAAACGTTTTACCCTGGTGTGTTCGACAACCAATAAACCTGTTGTCACGTTCCACATAGTCGCCATGGAGCGCGATACGATTTTCAGTTTTCTTGACTGGCATCTCTCCCTCCCCCCCTAACCCGCCCTCTCCTGTCCCCGACTACAGGCTCATAATTCAACTTTGATGAGTGGGTTAAGCTGTAGGGCTAAATTACGCGGACGAGATTCCGCTTGACTTATAATTTTGACTGTACGAGATGAAATATGTTATTAGCACAACTAGAATAAGAGTCCTAGCTTGCGCAGAAAAAAATTCCCGAACAAAGCTCGGCCAAGTAAGCTGCAGCTAAATTCGTACGTAGCAATTTAGCCCGTATGTGTTGAAGTTTCTAGCAATTTCGAAGATTGGCGAACAAGAAAAGGCTATTTTGAGATAGCGCATTGCAACACGCGAAGTTCAAAGAAATGCTTCATAAAAGCATAGCAAACACAGCAAATTATTTCTCGCTCAATGAAGAGCAATTGAAGTGAAGATGTAAATAAGAGGCGCTAATCAACTCAAGTTTAAGAAGATTCCTCAAACTTTTTCAGTTACAGTAGTGGCGGCTAATAGACGTGATATTTTGGAGAGAGGTTACTGTACACAGACTGTTGCTCATTTTAAATATTATATTATTGCCATGCCATGTTGTAGTCACATACAAAGCACTTGATCTACTTTTTGTTGAGCGGTCTTTCATGATTTTACTTTTTTTCAACAAAAAGTGGTTTTTTTTTCAAGTTATCGTTGCAACATGACTTTTTGTTCTCTTCTAGAACTTGGCAAAATTTCAATTTCATGTGTTGCCCCAAAAAGTGGTTTGCATGAAGTTCTAAAACATGTACTTTGAGTTCTGAATTTCAACCATTTCTTTCTTGTGAAACTGCACATTATTTGAGCTTACTTTCCTGAATCTACTGCGTTTAGTCCGCAAATGCACAGAAAATTTGCGTGATTATATTTATCGCCTTTTTTTAGAAAGTGAATGAAGTCGTATTTGAAAACAAATCACTTTTTGCGAATGAATTATGGTTATGGTATGCCTCACAGCTATTTTCTTCTTTTTTTTCTAGGTTTCATAATGCTTTTCCTCAAAAAAAAGTCAAAATTTGCCACCAATAAGTATAATAGCATGTACCTCAAGGAATTTGAGAAGCTTTTCGCGAACTTTACAAAGCATTTGGGAAAAAATTTCGAAAAAAATAGCTATGAAGTCCTAGCCTCAGCCATTTTTTCATTCCCCAATTACTGAAGCCTTCATTTGCGACTTCATTTAACTTTGAAAACTAGCCTGCTATTATTATAGCTGTATTTCTGCGTGCTTGTCAAAGGCAATCGTCTAGTTTTCTTTCAACACTTTTTTTACGAGCCGTTCTTCTTCGAAATTGTCCTTTTGCAGAGAGAAGCATGTTATGTATGACCCGCCACGCACATGAGATGGCTCGGAAAAAAATCGCCGAAGTTGGAAAAAACGCGAGCCGTATCGCAAAGCATTTGCTTCTTTCGATTTTTCTCCTAATCCTTAGAATTCGAATCAAGGCCAACAGTGATTGCGACTGGATGATTTTGAGCATTTTTCATCACGGCCCAATCATTCCAGCTGATGTTATTGAAGATTTTGCGCGGGTCAGCGATTCGCTATTCATTCTACTTTGCAACAAAAGTGAAAACCTCCCCTTGGAGAATTCGCAAGATTATGCGCCGATTATATGCATTCATCTAAGAAAAGAAGCATTTTCTGGAAGGGGGAAGGGTGTCTCAAAATAATAAACTTTCCGAAGGCACCAACTAGGTATTTTCTGATTCCCGCGCAGGAACTATCCTCCAAAACGGAAAAAGTTTTAGAACCAGATTGGTGAGTTAGCTTGTACAATAGCTAGAAATAAATAATTGCCTGAGTCCCGGTGCAAAAACTATTTTCCTGAACCAAAACTGGAAAACTACTTCAGAAAGTGGATGCTACTTAGGCTGCCACGCCCACACTAACGTGGATTTTCTCAATTTATATGCCAAAAAAACAGATTTAGCAGTACTTACAAGGGAAGGATACCTGGTCACCGTGGCCATACGTAACGATTTGTATATCAAAAAATGCGCCTTTCAATGCTGATTCGAATACTGTCTTCCATATCTGCGAAACGATAACCTGGATGGAGTTATGATTATTTTTGCATGAATAAATTGCGCTACTGCGACGGGTCAAAATCATCAACAAAAAATTTTCTTTCCTTTTCGGATGCTGAATATGATTTTATATAGGTATAATACATTAGTATTCCTTTTAAGATTCTCTTCAGTAGCTTCAAACGGTAACCTAGAACAAATTTGGTGATTTTAGCTACCTAAAAATACGCAAATTTTCAAAGAAAAAAGTTCATAACTTCCTTCAAAAGATCGTTTCGCAGATATCGAGCACAGATTCAGAATCAGCGTTTCGAGATGTATCTTACAGTGTACATCACATTCCAGATGGCCATGGTAACCGAGTATCCTTTCCTTGTTAGAAATATCGAAAACTCGTCCTCTACTGTGAAAAACACATTTTCGACATTTAAGTGTATTATCTGGAATCCAGTTTTGCGCGCATTAGTTTTAGACCACCCATGTTGATAGGCGTGGCGACCCCAGCAGCATTTAGTTTCTGGGACGGTTTTTCCGCTTTGGAACATACCTTGAGCAGCGGAACTTGGACAATTAATTAGCCAGGAACCTCATGTATTGTCACAAAATTTTTACAACTTCAGATTTGGGTAAAATGCCGCTAATGCAAGAAAGGGATATTTCTGGATATGATACCGACTATCGTTGTGCCTATGTTCAAGCTGCTTGTTGCCGCCGCTTCTGCCCTTGATTGTCCAGTTTTAGTGTCATTGTCGTCTCTCTTCTCTTCATAGTTCCCATACACACTGTGACGAACATACTAAGCGTTATCTAGCTGGTCACAGACAAATTTGGCAAGTTTTTTCGGCCATAGCCTCTCGGAAGCGAACATAAAACAAGCTAACGATAGCAATGACAAGCTAGTTGCAATGCAAACCTGAAGACTTTGATCGAAGGATGTTTCAAACTTTTCTAAACAGAATCTGAATTAAAGATGAGGATATAGGTGGGTTTTTCTCTTGGTTCCTGGATCACTTTAATTCTTCTGCATCTTTTCGAGATTTAATCAGCTCCTTTTAATCTTCCAATAGTTTGAAGCCTTTCAAAATTTCCAAGTAGTTCCATGTCATTTTGTGGAAAAAGCCAGAGAAATTAATCTGAAGAAGCTTGTACTTCAACATAAACTTGCAATCAAAAATGTAGGAACCGGGGGAGGGGAGGGGGAGGATTTCAAAATAGAGAAAATTTTGAAATTATTCGAAATTTTTATGAATTTTTAAACTTACTCTTCCAACTGTGAACTATCGCAGAATCCCCACAGGGCATTCTTCCATTCTTGGTAATCTCACATTTGCGAGTTAGGGAGAAAGACTAAAAGCTCGAAGAAGTGGAGGAGGGGGGGGGGGAAGGAGACAAACTTGGCTTTTAAAATGATTTCCGGCAATCACTACATTCATCTGAAGAAGGACGTTTTTTAGAATTTTAGAAATAAAAACAAACTGATTTTGAACAAAAAACCAACAAAATTGTATACTCCTTACTTACTTAGAAAGGGATAATCATTGATTATTTTACCAAATCAGTAACCCCCTCAATTGCATTTTTCAAAAGTTTTTGTTAATTGAATCTGTTAGACGTCCGCTCGCACAGGGCTGTATTTTCTATGTAATCCATCATAGACGTTTGGATTAGATGAAATCAGCTTTATATTCCCCCCCCCCTCTCCACCCCATGTAACTGCTCCCACGCGTTTTATCCAAAGTTGTTTCGAAAATCGTTTTTCAAAAAGTTGCACCATCTTGCAAACAGCGCGAAGATGCGCAAGAATTCTTCCTAGCAATTATGGATTTATCAACGGGGAAGCAATCGTTGTGTATAGGAATTGAGGTCACCAAGTGGGAATGGAAAGCGAAACGAGCGTGAGTTAGGGTCGATTATGTCAGAAGTGAAAGCGAATCGAAGAAACAACACTATTGAGAAGAAACATTTCATTGAACTTGCAATGAGGGGAGGTGGGGGGGGGGGGGAAGGAGGGGAATAAAATTGCAGTAGCAGCTATGAACGGCTGAATGAGGAAAGAGGAGTGAGTGCAAGAATGAACGAATGAAGAATGAGCTTGATGGCATAACAAGTTCGCCATTGTTTTCACATGTTCTACTTGTAATCACAAGTGACTTGCTGTGCCAACAAGTTCATTACTGTAACAACAAGTTAATTATTGTAAGCACAAGTTTATTATTGTGATTTAAAATCAATAACCGTAAATTTCACAGTTTTAGCACAAGTTTAGTGTACTACTTAGTAACAGTAAATTTCCTAGTTTATTTGCAATTTTTTGCGTTAATTTTTCAAATAGAAATACAAAATTCCTTTTTAGCCCTACATTCCACGAGCTCAAGTCCCTCCGAGAATAATCTCAGCTTCAAAAGCTTCGGAATCGAAAGAAGTTACAACTAGCCGATCTACATACGGTACAACTGCTTCGCCATATATAGCAAAGGCCCCGCGATCATTTGAAGAATTCGATGAAGAGCGAAGAAAGAGAATCGAGGTAAGCATCGAGACATTCATAGATTTTCGCCTATGCGATTTCGAGAAATAATCTATATAAGCGTTCACTATTGTACCAATATGAAAATAGAATACAAATGGAAATTCCGTTTTATCTATGCAGTAACGCGGAATCTTCAACTTTTAGGGCTTATTCGGGATTTCTCAATAAAAATTTCCTTGAATGTTCTGCGGAAAATTCTCATAGATGAATTCCAAAACTTACCCGATATTTTTGCGAATATCTTCTGCAGACACAGGAGACCTTGTTCAAAATCTGTACAGCTATAATGCTAACAACAAGGTACTGATGCATTACCATATAAAAATGACTTAATTTACTGAGTTTCAATGCCAGTATTTACTCGGTGCCCAAGACTTCGAAAAATATATGCAAAAGAGTTGAGGTACACACTTTAATTTGATCGCATACCGTAGCGCGAACTGTAGGATTACGGTAGTCCGTAAGTAAAGCTTCTTTACATTAGTTTCAAGATGTCCAAAAGTGAATGTCTCAACAATTAACCATATTTTTCCATATTTCTCTTTTATTATTTCTTTCCTGACCTTACAAAAACTTACGATGCATGACAGGCTTTGTAAATTTTTCTATCCCTGTTTTGAGGTTGCATCAGATCTTCCTCATCTTCGGTACAAATTTTTTCTACCATCTTCACCATTATCGTAGAAAATATAAGATTGTATGATCTATAAAAATTCTCGGAATAATTCTCACCTCGAAAAAGCTAGTTAATTTGTCGTAAATCTTGGTAAGCTATGCGACGACATTCTCGCTTCAGTCATCGATACTATCTCCGAACAAAGAGTCCATTTCATTGCGTTTCTATAAACATTGCTACAATAAAAGCGCTATGAAAATGTCATAAAATGCGGAAAAGTGATTTTATGTCAGTGTCGCCGTAATTCTGAAATTAATTAGCTTTCTCATCATTTGACGGCGAGACAAGAAATAAAAAGGAGAAACTCTGACAAACTTGATTTTGGGTATCAGTTGCGTTGCCTATATTCATGCTTAAATGGAATTTTGCTTAGTTCTAAAAATGATTTAGTAACGCTAAAGTTTCAGGTTTTTCTTGAAAATTCAGTATCCCTATATTATAATATCTATCCAAAGCTTGCTTACAAAAGGTTGTTATTTAGATAGACAAAAAAAGGTATTTTTTCTAATAACTTCTTCAAAATGACACTTCCTTTTTACGATCCGCATTTATTCATATTCCTCTCACCCAGGATCTAGGGTTACGGTTACGGTAGAAATTTTTGAGCAGCTGCAGTCATTAAGTGTGCACTGACAACAAAGGCACCAATTACGAAATTGAAATTTGGTATCACTCTTTTATTCCAAAAAAGCTTTTGTCTAACCTCATTTTTCGTGAAAAAATGGCCACTTATTATCAGTATCATTCATTCGACACGAACAATTTTTTCAGAGCAACCTTTTTTTGATCCGTAAGAGTATAGATACAATCCAGCTGATGTGAAAGTTAAAATTGGCGAGTCATAGAGCGTGAATCATGTCACTTTTTTGAATTTGATCAGCATCTATTGTGCAACTACACCAAGTGTCACGTAAAAAACCACACTCATTTGTACAGTCAGTCGGTGACACTTCAAAATTTTCTCTCTCCTCTTTCTCTCTCAAATGCACTATTTTGTATCCCACTTTAAATGTTTACAAAATTTGCGCTCTAAATTTTTCGCTGTGAAAAAAGTAAAAGTACGCATACAAAACGATGTCAAATTTGTCTCGCAATTGGTGCAGTTGCGGTCATTGTTATGATATTTACGCGCAACTGTTTTTTGCTTATGATCAACACGATAAGTGGTTCCATATATCGAACAAATTGTGTCGTGGGATGTTTCGGTAGAATAATAAGGTGGGGGGGGGGGGGGGAATTACACCTTTGCATTTTGTCAGCTTACCGGGAAGATGTTTTTGAAAGAGTTTCGAATAATTTTTTTCAAGCTTTCTTTAACAGTCTGTAAACATAGAAAATGCATGCGTATGAACTTTCTTTTCGCACTTTCTTGATCTTTTTACGGCATTTAGAAGCTAGGAAATACCGGACTGCTACCATAGGAGAGATAGTGCTGGCGCAGGATTCAAAAAATTAAGAGAAATGGAGAGACAAAGCCAAAAAAAAGATAAAAAGGAAAATTTGACTAACTTCACAAAGATGTCGCAAAGTTGTTGATTATGTGTGCATTTGCTCATTTGCTCATTTGCTCAAACGCTCTCATTTGTAGGAAGCAATTTGAGATTATCGAGAACCTTCTGGAGTCTTCACAATTGGACTAGTGAACCAGTAATCTCAAAGGTGCGGCAGGCGCGCTCGCTTCGGGACCCACTCGTTTTCCCGCTATGTGATGATTTTTAAATGCACCTTACGATCCTTTATATATTAGATAAGAATAACATAATTTATCCGTCAATTTGTTGCTGCAGGGTATCTCCCCTTAGGGTGCGAACATTATCGGAATTCGAAAAATTCTCGGAATTCTTGTGGCAACCGCTATCTCTTCGAGGAAATCTTGCTTCGTTTTGCATAACCAGCTGAGGCTTCAGATCCTTTTCGTCTTTTGATCTCCCTAGCCTAACTCTCTTCAAATCTAGCTCACTATCGCCGAGAATCTCGCTTTCATCGCTTTTGTCGGCTTTCGCTCTTTCTGACGTCGAAACAAGCCGGATACTCCCTTTCTGTGTTTCTCGCTGTATTTATGCGCCTTGAACTGGCCGGTTGAAACTGTCATAGAAGATTCTCGGAAATTGGGGTCAATCCGAGAATGTTAATGAGTCGTCGGCTTTTTAAGCATATCCAAGGTCTTTTATAGGGAGCGGGATTGAAGGGCAGTGCTGTACTTTGCTGCTTCGATTTTTACCTTCAAGAGTACAAAAGTATGACCTTTTGTTCGACGCGCTCTAGTTTGGCCAAAAAAAGCTGACCCAGTAATGAACCAAACCAAGTGCTACATTTTGATCAAAATTGGATTCTAGTCCAGTCGAGTCAGATGTTTTTTGGCATTAAAAACGTGTGACCCACTAAGGGGAGATGGAAAGAGATAGGCCAAAAAATTTGAACAAATAATAGGGACAAAAGCCATTCTGAATAAGCCCATCAATCCAAAATGTGCCTTTTTTATAACTATTACATCACGCAGAGGAAAAGGTCGCAGAACAAAAATAGGCTAACATATCACAATATTTTTCACATTCATGAAAATCGAATTTAAAATTGTTGTTCTGCACTTTCAACTCTGAGAATGAAAAATATGCTGTTTGTTGGAACAAAACACGATTTTTGCTATTTACAATCATAATCTCAAAAGCTTGTATGATTATGTCTAGACTATTTGAACTATCAAACATTATTTACACACTTGCGGTGGTGATACGGTATAGTACCGTAAACTTACGGTTATGAAATTGCTGTACCACGCAACTGTCACTGAAGTATTGTCAACTACTCTAGCAATCTTGAGATCGGTTTTGAAGTTGAAGTATGTTCATTTTGAAAGCAAAGCAAAAACGAGTTTGCTTACCGTAATGATAAAGTAACCTACACGCAAAGCAAAAGTTCAAAGTAAAGGCTTATCGTTAATAAAAGTTTTAGTAGCCACTTGTGACAAGGAACTGATTATTGAGAGCAATGTTTTATTTCAATTTCAATTTTGATTTTTCATATATTAGGTTGGTCCGAAAGTTCTTGCGCATCATTTTCAAGAAATCATAACTTCGTGCCACTTGATGAACTTTAAAATTATCTTTGGAAAGAGGAATCCATGCTCTTTACAGATGTACCTTCGCCATTGATTGGTTCGAGAAAACGCGAGAGCTAGAAGCAATTAAAGGAAATATTGGCATTTTTCAAGCTGGGTCACAAAAAATTCTGGAAACACTTTTGTTCGAAAGAGAAAATTTTGCTGGTACTGAGGTACCTTTTCCGCCAACTACAATGAGGTAGTTCGAAAGTTACAAGCAATTGAATAAAATTACTTCAGTTTTTCAATTTTTGCGTTTGTTTAAAAACCCTAAAAACTTCACTAGAGAGACCGGAAAAGTCATAAACGTGGGTTTTGTGACCTGCTCTTTTTATTAGAATGAAATTCGTGCCAATCTGGAGCAAACTTTATTTTCGTGTATTTTTCGGGTTTTCATGCCTGCATTTTTAGCGAAAATAAAACTTGCTTCAGATTGGTACGATTTTCATTTACACTTTTACACTTACTTAAGCATATTATAGTAATTCACACATACATATTTTTATTTTATACGTATTTTTCAGTAATGTTATGAGTTGCATGTCAGCACTTTATGGGACGATTTGAGAAACATATTTCTTTTGTGGAAAAAACAGCCATATCTACAGCACCCGATAAAGTTTTACATCGAGCGTTCCACGCAGTGCCCAGCCCAAAAACAAGCTTTTACATAAGCCTTGTTCCAGAACCGAACACACATCGCATCGCATGCGAAAAGCGGCTATGCTATATCTATGATCCGGATCAATGAAACCATGCTTTCCGCGTCCCAAAGCTCTTGCTAGCATATAATGAGGGGCTATGCGCTGCTTATTATGTCAAGAATGTTTGCGAGCGTTGAATACTAGCGACGAAGAAGAAATGAGCGCTATAATCGGACAATTAACTTAGCTAGTTGAGAAGGGGAGACCAAGTTTCCAAATTCGCTGCAAAATTTTATACTTAGGCATTTTACATGTAAAAAAGAAAAAAGTATAAATCAACATTAGAGGGGTTATGAGCTGCCCTAACAATGTAGAAACCTCTAAGAAAAAATTTATTCCGCAAAATCGAGAATGCCCTTATTCATGCATTCAGGCTCGATGGAAGCGGCTCGGGATCAACATGAAAACGATACAGTATCCAATTCAAAGAGCAAGCCGAGAAAAATCACTAGAGATCGATTATGGCGTGCCAAGAGCCGTACCACCCCCATCACATTCGACAAAATCCATTGAAGATGAAGAAGAATCAAAGCAAGTGGAGAATTTTAGCCCAAAGGTGAGTTTTTGCGGGTTATGAGGATCAAAAGCTCTATGCCACCACAGTATGCTACAGTATCCAAAGTGCTAATGGTCAGGAGGCTAAACAGAAAATAGCATCTAATACTACAGGTTCATGTCGCGCTGCAGTGTCATGCAATAAACTATCTTCTTTCTAAATTCACTTGAGAAATTAACCAGACATTTATTATCGTGTATGGGTTACGGTAGCGCAAAATGGTTTATCTTCTGTCGCGTGCCGTGAGGTTACGGTATAAAAAGGGTCCGTGTTCCTTCGATTATCGGAGATTAAGTCAATGTAAAATGATCCACATTTTGTCGAGTAACGTATTTAAGGCTAGAGTGGTGCAAAAGGGTCCTTCGTCATCGTGTATGAGGTTACGGTGGTGCAAAAGGGTCTGTATCGTCAAGAGTTACTGCTGAATTACACTAAAGCATTTATTTTCCAGAAAGACGATATTCGAGTGCCATCGTCGGAAAATACTCGAAAATCAGTCCCACTGCCGACTGACGATAAAGACATACAAGTAGAACCACCCCGACGTCCGCGAATCCATGGACCCATCCTGGCCCCATACACAACCTCAGGACATGAAGGTAAACGCTCTACTCCTCTTCTGTCTCGCTTTTTCCTTTTTTTTTGCCCTTAGTTGCGTGCTTGCTTGGCTTTTTTTTTTCAAGAAAAGAAGTGCTTTTTCTGCCGTTAAAGGCTCACTTCTACAATATCTGCATATTATGTTACAGAACGCTCAAACTAATACCGTAACCCAGCTGTTAACCCTCTGCCTGCTAATTGCTGCTGTTACTGTTTCCTTTGTGCTGTGCTGAATTATGCTAACCTGAAATGTCTGAGTTAATCTAACATTGCGTGTGTAATGTGTCAACCACATTTACCACCACCGTTCCATAGAGCGGCGGTCGAATGCTATGTTTAGATGCTCAGAAGTCGGGTTACGGTATCAGTGCGGGTGCGTCTGCGTCCGCAGCGCAGCGTTCTGCTGCGGGACGATTCGACGCGGCTTTGCCGCCAGCTGCGCCAATTCTGCCACGATTTGCATCGCCAATGGCGACACCGACACCAAATAGTGACTATCATTCACGCACTACCCCCGTGTTCAAGAGTTACAAATTCGCACAGAAACTCAGTCAACGACCCAGATTGAGGATACGACGACCTGGTACGGTTATACATTTTGGGCATTAACTTTTTGCATTGCTACCATCAGTCTCATGACTGTAATGACAATCACAAGTGCGATTACTGTGGAGAGACACCAATGCCACTGAGTTGATGCGACGCAAAAACACATCTACCAGATTATGCAGGGTCGGGAGAAAGTCCTTGAACAGATATTCTTGGTAACTGCGAAACTAGGCATGATGATCAGATCAAATCAATAATCAATCCTCGCTCGCAAAACGTTGGAGGCGTTTTGGATTAATGCCAAAAATCCAAAATTGAATAGAAAGGGAGAATGTATCGCCATAACGCAGGAACTCGCGCCTTATCAGTCCCTATGCGGATTTGAATATGAGGTCAGGTTATCTTGGCACATATAAAAGAGCTGAGGCGTAGTCTTGTACATAGGTGGTGGTCTTCTGACTTCCGCTTTGTGTTATTTGAGGTGAGTACGGTCCTTGTACTTCTGACGATATTTCGCGTTAGCTTTCTCTCGAAGAGATTCTGAGTCTTCTCCTGTCGTCTGAAGGAATGGGTTGCTTATAACTTCGACTTCCAAGCTCTGAAGAAGGCGAAGGCGCCGAAACGTTAGCCGTCAGTAAAGAAACTGTAACATCTTGGAGTACCGCTCATAAGCATTATCCACAATAAATAATGATTATCCAATAGTCGGTATATAAAATTCGCACAATTCAATGGTCCTCCTTTGACGCGAAACGCAAACTTAAAGACGCTTGAGAATGCTGTCTACGTGCCACGGTACTCCAAGTCGATCTGTTTCCGCACATTCTGAAAAACACGGTGCAGAGACTCTACATCTTTGTGTGGATGAGCGCGGGCCTTGGCCTCGAAAACTGATCACTCGCTGTAGTCCGGGGTTCAGGTTCGGTGAATACGGGGCAGGGCCCGGCACAGATCGTCTGAAAGCAGGCTGGACTTCGTTTTTGAAGCAAACAGCAAAGGGGATATCGTTTTTGGCGAGTCGGAACCGAGCACTAAAAATAAGCGCCATTTAGTCGAACACAAGCTTTTCGGACAGGTTATCACACGATTGACATGCTCTATCGTGTATGGCGAAAATTGCGCGCGATTTGAAAGCAAGGCTAAAATAAAAAATTGCTTGTTTACAGCGCACACAGAAGCATATGACATCAAAAATGAACTGTATACATAAAAAATTATTTGCGAAAGTATTATGTAAAAAGATTTGAAAACTTATGTTAAGTAATACCTTTCCAAAATTAGATCGTCTCCAGACGGCCACCAGACGATCTGAGATCGTCTGGAGCATATATTTTCGTCACTTCACATAAGTTTCGGATCTTTTTAGTATGGATGGATTCCCCGGTCAAAGATCTATCCCTGAGCATGAAGGCATTTTCATATCATTGCCTTTCCTTTGTTTTTTGCCTTCATTTGTTCTCGCTTTGTTAAATATCGCGCTCTAATGCCAAAGTGTTGTACATGCGTAGCATTCAGCTCCAATTTGGATTTTCACTCTTATCTTACGTCTTTTCTTTCACACTAGTAAATCTTTCTTGTTTTCATCTTCACCTAAGCAGGTAGGTCAAAGGGGACTTCGTAAAACTTCCGAAAGTCAGGGGAGACTTCGTTTTCAGAAACCCTAGAAACCGACTCGTGCCGGGCCCTGATACGGGGGCCCTTCTGCCTTAGTAATGAAATCCTAACGTAAATTGGAGCTATGCGTAAACAATTCTCGCCTTGTGCCCAGGTGCGCTGTCCTGCCGGAATCACCAATCTCTCCCGGCAAAATGGGTTTTGGTCGAGGCAATATCCTTCTGCAGGATTCTATACAAATACATCGTCTACTTAGATGTCTGAGGCACAAATATCAGCGGCATCTCGCAGCAGATAGCCGCTTTTACCATCACAAAAGGCGATGAAGTTTGAATACGTTCTAATAGTCGACCTTGCTATTAGTTTCTTGGAGCGATTGGGAGATAATCCTTTGTTCTAGCACGGTGAAAATTTTCTTATCAGAAAGTAAGTCCGGTGGCATTATCTGGAGAGGCGCTCAAGCAATTAATATCACCTGTGAATTCGGCTTCATTCATCTTCATATCATCCCGAAAAGCGTGAATCTTTTGCGTACGGTAGAGCTTCATCCTAAGGTTTACATTTACAGTGTTCGAGACGGTTCGTTCTAAGACTGATGGGCAGCTTCAATGCTAGCCTAGTCACCCTCCTCTAAGGATTTCGACGTATCTATGCGTTTCGTATGATCATCCGACTGTAAGCGTGTCCGCAGGGCTGGTCCGTCAATCCTGAAATGTTTCTGGGTGTTATTTGTCCCCCCGATACGGCATAAAGTGAAGCAAACCGTGTTTAGCGGAATTTTAAGAATCCGAGCGATCTGCTGTTGAGTTTTCCCGCCCATGTGTATCTTCGCGATGAACTCATTCTCTGATTAAGAAAGCGTAATTCCGGTAGATGTAGAATTGTCAATCCAATTTTTGGAGGGCTCCCAAAACAGTATAACAAGCAATTTCATATAGTGAACAGACATGAAATGTGGGATAGCCTAAGATACAGTGGTATAAAAATTTGTTTAAAGGCAGTGTTCAGACAAATCTGGGCACATGGATTTTTTGCTTGGAAATGAGGGGGGTCCTAACCAAGGCACTGCCCAAAGGACAGCGCAAATTGTTCATTTAAGGCAATCCGTCCCTAAAAACCAGGCGTCTGCGCCGTGACCATAACCCATAAACGACTTCTGCGCTGGGACCCATCCTAAGTGTTGCGGTCACGGCACAGCCTCGAAGTGTTTATGGATGGATTTCTCAGCCGTGAATGAATTATTTGCGCTGCAGTTTGGGCACTGCCTTAGTTGGAACCTCCTCAACAGTTTCCAGGCAAAAAATCCATATACCTAGATTTGTCTGGACACTGCCTTCAAGGACTTTCTCCTGACCGTGTGCTTGGTATCGCGCCTGTTCCAAAAGGCACTCGTGATTGTCATCGCGGTTGGAATACTCTATCCATTGTATTTCCCTGTGTAATGGGTGCATGAAAGGTGTAAAAGTTGGGATTGAACAGCCAATCTAGATAAAACAGTCATGATATAACTGTAATTTGAAAGAATTGATTGATATAATAGCTCTCATCTGCAAACTTGTCCTTTCAGTTCTATTTTCATTGCATCAAAAGTACGTAAGCTGTGCGTTTTGACAGTTTTAGCCATGAGCCCCCTTTAGAAGATGAAAAAATTTTCACTCACTTGATGTCCGGTATAAAAAACGGCAACCAATAGACAATTCTTCTAACAACCCATTACTCTTTGCCAAGTTTATCGCAAAATTTTTCGGTAAAAGAGAATCACGTGAAAAATTTCTAAAGACCATCGTGCTAATTCCGATTTTATTTATTGACTCCTCTAACTTCCTCAGCATCCCCTGCATATGCCCGAGCCAGCATCGCACTATCCCTCACTTCTTAAACTTTTTCACCTTCGTCTTCATGTTTCATCTTCACATCATCTTCTTCGACGTTTTTTTTTCAGACGTTATCAACATGATATGGCTACCAACTAAACGGGCTTACCTCTCGTTTAGTTAATTCATCCTAATTTTTTCCGAACGTACTTCTTCATTTCCAATCTTTCCGTGACGATCTGCTCCGAAATGCTGCTTGTTTGAAAAAGCGCGATTTCCAGATTTCCTCACATTATTAGCTCACGTACTTGCCCTATAATTGTGCCGAACAACACCGCCCAACACATATTAGCAGTCATATTTACTAAATCTACCATATCCCACAAACCTTCTGGTTCGATTCATGCTCCTAATCTAGCAGTAGCGGCCACAAATGCTTTTTTGGGAGGGAGAGGAGGGAGGGGGGGGGGGGTACAACGCCATCCAGAAAAATTATAGATTGTTAGAAACTTTGTGTACGTGGGTTATATGACATGCTGATTACAAAAACGATATTGATTTCATGGTTAGGGTTTTTTGTAAGGTTACAATAGGTTGACGGTATGAAATCTCACCCTAAACGAAAAAAGAAGCGCTAATTCGATACGATAAATGAATATGATAGTATTCGGCAAAGCAAATAATCCCACCGTGCAAAGCTTTGGCGAGTTCTGAGACTTTGCCTCCTTAATGACGCTTGTCCCCAAGCGCTTTGCGTACAGCGGCTCGTTCAACTTTGTAAGGGCGCCAAATCTTGAGTTGTCTTCGAATTCCATTTCTTCCTTACTGCGTCAGATGAGTCGACCTCTAGTAACAATTAAGGCACACTTTTCTAGGTTAAGAACGACTTCATTCTCACTAAGTCCTTGAATCCTCAAATTTCACCAGTTTTCGAAAAACAATTTTTTTTTTGATTTTGTCATCAAAAAGCGAACGGTTTGTGTAACTTTATGCGGTAGTTCACCCGGCAGTTTATGCAGTATCAAGATTTATCAATATCAATAAGCGAAAGTTACAAAATCAGTTGCAAAACTTAATTAACAGCCTAATACAAGCAAAAACAAATAACGATGATGTATCCCTATGATACCTACTTTTATCCTAGTAGATAGGGGAATCAATTTCTAGTATTTATTGGATGAAGATTCTTATTTAGTTGTTCACAAATACGTCCTAATTACAAGTGATTTAGGAGAAAAATCCGTAGCCGAGAACTCCATCCAAGAAGATCCAAACCTGACGCCATTCCAGAATTCGGCACGAAATCGATTTAAATACGGTAGTCAAGTAGGGAATGGCGGCCCCAAACCATATAGTTAGTTTTGTATCATATCAATTTCTACTTCGACAGGGAAGTTTTTTCTTTTTATTACAAACTTTGTTCCCTGCTTATGTGAACGCTTTGGGCTTGTGGAAGAGACTAAACCTCTTACTAAACAAAGAAATCAGTTTTCCTCAGTATTGGCGGTGTTTGATCATTTTCATCAGTTCAAAAATTATATTCTGCTTTCTCCAATAAGGAGTTTCAGCGCGAACAGTGAAACCACCGTCAACTACAGAGCCAGTAACGACTACAACTGAGACAACCACCACAACTACCACGACCACTACCGAAGTGCCAGTAACGGAAGAATCTGAAGGCGATGGTGGTGATTCAGGTGACTGACACAATATGTTACAAAAGCATTGAATCATCTATAAGTTTTGCAGGAGCTAGCTTCGGCTCCGGTCCATCTGAACTACCACCAGAGTTGGCAAACGTTGGCTTTGGCATAGGCGGCAATGGCATCAATTTTAACGTTCCTGCAGAAGGAGAAGCGAGGCAAGATTCTGCCGAGAAAACGTCTGCATCTTCCGAGAAAAGGGCGAGAAGGCCAAAACAGAGGTGTATACACGTGCCCATTTCATAGTCCTTGTGTTAAACGATTTCCATTCTACAGAAAGCAGCCTAATCCGGAAGCGTTCAAAGAAGAGTTGGTCATTCCACAGAACTCAGGCCTACGGCCTGTAGCACCACCGAAGGAGTTCCTTGATGGAGGAGGATTTGGTCCTGGTTCTTCTTCCAGTATGTTCACTGTTTTCTCACAATCAGCATCACATAAATAAGATGAGCAGGTGGTGGAGGCGGTGGAAGCTTCGGAGGAGGAGGAATCGGTGGAGGAAGCGGTGGCGGCAGTGGCGATGATAGCGACTCAGGAGCAGGTTTGGGAGGTGATGGAAGTGCTGGAGGTGGTGGAGGAAGAGGGGGAGGTGGTGGCGGAAGAGCTAGAGGAAAAGCTGGCCGTGGACGAGGTGGTGGTGGAGGAGGTTCTGCTATCTCATCTGGAGCTGAATCCGAACAACCTCCAGGTTTGTATATAGCCTTGCAGATATTATCCGATATCTACAGCAACTACTTCAGACCTATTTACTGGTGACTCGGCACTTACACCATCTCGTGGACCTACCGGCGATGGTTACGGACCACCAATCTTCCCTGGAGGTGCAGTGCCACCGCCCGTACCAGCAGTAGGTCTCGGTGGTGCGGCAGCAGGAAAAAGCCCCTATGGGGCGCCACTTATGGAAGCGACGGAAAACCCACCTACTACGGTATGAGTTGGCGTTTAGTTTTCATTTTGATGACAAAATGTCAAGCTCTTTAGGTCAAACCATCAGCTCTCTTGAATGTTTTGAATAAAGCTGATCAAGGAATTAACCAAGCGATCACGCATTTTGAGCAAGGAAGTCCTTTAGAGACAGCGGCTATAGACATCTTGGAAGGTATGGGTGGTAGAACAAAGATATGTACTTCAAAATAATGCTAATTTCAGTAGCGTTGGGCTCTCAAAGGTTGGATTCCCAAGCTAAGCTTTTGGGGCATGTAGATAGGGCCATAGGATTGGACAATCTGCAACGGATACAACGATGGGCGAATACAGCTGGTGCTATGGATGTGTTCAAAGAAGAGGTACGTCATTGTCTGAACCAGCAGTTGACTCAGGAGGCGCACCTCTGCAATAAATCTGAACAATTTACAGGTGGTGAAATTCATCAAGAACTTTGAACCACCTGAGGATCTCCTTCCGACAATACCTCCGCAACTCGATTATTTATTTAAAACCTCAGGACGGTAGTCGGTCTTCCTGTCTTACTGTTATGTTATCCTACAAACCAACTCATACACGGGAGTACCGCGTTGCAAGCCAGGATGTTCAGGTCCAATCGCTCTCTTACACTATAAGCGCGCCAGTGAAGGCACAGTATCGCGGTTCTAGAACTTTGATCATTGTCGTATCGTTGTTTAGTTCTAGTGTAGTTGATGCTAGTAATTATGTTATTTATTTGATTATTATTTATGATATACTTACATGTATGAACTTCGCGTCTTTCAAAATATCCAGTCTCGTCTTCGCTCTTTGCATTTGAAGCTCTCCAAAGCTGCTTTGCTGCTGTTGTTGTACAGTCCGTTATGAAACTTCTTGCCCCAACTGCTCACATCACTTGCCATTGTGATTCTCGCTCGGTATATTTCTTCTGTATGCAGAAAAACGAAATCTCAAATAAATTATTGGATTTTTCTGGTTTATGCTTGTTCTACGAGCGTTTCATTGACGACTGGATTGTTTGCTTGATGTTGAGACGCGTGATTTTCGTCGTAACTTGTTGAAAGGCAATAATAAGTAGTTGTGAAAGAGGTAGAGATAGTGACAGCGTACGATAACGTTCACCCAAAGGATGCTCTAACAGTCCCAACTCGAACATTCGCGCAGTCGCCCTATTATGGAAGGGACAAAATGTGCTTCCAAGCGATAAATAGGCGCACATTCAAGTGCACATGCACATGCATTTGCAAGCTAGAGTGATCGCAACAGTTATGATCATAGGCCTTCCAACGATTCTTTACTCGATGCGCGCTTTGCATGCACACTTCCAAATTCAGAATCAAGGGCTTTAAGAAGAGTGTGTTGACATTTTCGCGGTTGTTCTGATCCGGAAGAACAAGCTCAAGTAAGGGAAGAATTTTCTAGCCGACGATTTGCCCGAACTTCGCGTTTGAGAAGAGAGATTCAAGTGATCAAATCTTCATCGCATATCATTCAATTTGGACGTCGCTCATTTTCGATATCAAGAGGTTGTTTAACGGTTTTAATTGCACATCGTGATTAGCATCTTCTTTATCCGATTGCCCACTATATCCCTTTTTCTCTGCAATCTGAACTATCGAGTGCATGTTCTATCCAAAAACCGCAGGACTCAGAAAATATAGATATGGATTTATCAGAAGTACTAGGTTCCGAATAGAAAATTCCATTTCTTAACCGATCCGGACCAAACTTGGCACACATACACTTCGGGCCCCGTGGGGGTGATCAGCATGCTCGATTACACCCCTCTGCTAAATTCCAGCCCCGTAGCTCAAATTTTGCAAAAAATCGATAAAATCGATATCGATCGATGACGAAAAGTAGCTTATGACACCCGCCGGGGCCCGAAGTGTATGTGTGCTAAGTTTGGTCCCGATCGGTTCAGAAATGGAATTTTCTATTCGGAACATACGTACACACATACATACATACAGACAGACAGACAGATATACAAACAGACATTCAGCTTTATATATGAGGTATACCCTTCGCTTCAACCAAATCGGCTGATGGAAGACGGGGCTTTATGACCTAGGAGACGACAGCTCGCGTCCAGCAGTGGGCGTCTATCTCGCGAGCATGCTCTCTGCTCATTTTCTAGACTTAAGGAGGTCACGGAGCCCCGCCTTCCAGCTGCCTATCTGGTTGAAGCAAAGGGTAACATAGCAGTTTATACAAGATATAATAAGATGATAAATAATGGATGCTCTTGCTAATATGTGGAATACCAATGAGAATAAGACAATGTGTTTTCTGTATTCTGAATGAATTGAGTATGCGAGGCTAAGCGCAAGTAGATGATTTGCAAGGAGGTCACCAAGTGCAAATTTCCACCTTCTTTCCTCTCAAGTGGCTGTACTACAAGGCATGCAAGAAAGGCAAGCTGCCATGCTTAGGCCTCGGGCAGAGTTCACGCGATTTGTTCGTCGCGATTCAGTCGCTACAAGACAAGTGTTACGAGTTCATTGCCAATCTTCTTGTATTTCGGTTGTGATAGTTAGTCACGATTAGTCGTGTTGGAAAACCATCACAACCGAAATGCAAGATATCGCCATGCAGTAGACTCGAACTGTTTGTTTTGTTGGAGGAATCGCGGCGATGAAATCGTTCAACTCTGTCCGAGGCCTTATGCTAATGCTTTCATACCAAAAGAGATTAAATATGATGAATCGTGAGACGTCGTCTGAGCTTCTCAGCTAATAAGGAGTGCTCCGACTGGGAAAGAACGCAACGGCATTCATATAATTACTCAAATCGAAACGGATAAGTTTTCGGTGCCCTTCCGTTATCTGGAGCATTTCTTCAAAAAAAAGGATATTTTCCTTGTACCAGTTTTCAAATATGGACAGTTAAACTCTGCCACGCGTCAAAAAAAAGACAGGTCCGACAGATTCACCACGAGTTTGTTTAGCCTACCAATTGAAGTGAGTTCAATTTGTGTTTTATTCCATACCCCATTTTTAGCCACACTTTCATGAATGAGCATTAACATCAAGAAAACGACCTTATGTGTTTGATGAACAGATTAGATTTTCCCAAAACAGAGAAGTGGGCTATTGTTCTGACATCTGAACGACGAAACAATCGGTCATCAGGTAAAGGCATCATTATTCTATTCCGGTTAGTTGGCATGGAGAAAACAATGTGAAGAGTAGTATTTCTTTGAAGCATCGCTGATAGCTATCAGGTGTTTTGATAAACGATTAAAACTGCTTCGCTTTTATAACCTGCAGCTTTAGAGCCATTTCAAATGCTCTCGTACCTCAGCGGAAATGATTTTTGAAAATCAGTCAAACTAGCCCCAAACGTATTAATTTTTATCTTAACACGTGACAAGGAGGCAGTCCCTACAAGTTCAATGAAAACATTTCTGGGCTAGCACGTGTTTCTTATGAAAAAAAATGGGTCCGAATCCCTTTTCCCTTAACCTCGCAGACTTATTAGCTTATCTTCACTCTGTACAGTTCTGACAAAGCGCGAGCAGAGTTTGCTGCACATGGTGCAGCACGCTAATTTGAAGCGTCTTTTTGACATTCACAAGAGGTTTTCTTTTACTTTATGGTTATCAAGCTAGAGGCCTAGGCTCCTATCTTCCAAATGACTCTATGCGGCTATGCTGCCTCTATTCGTCTAAAAGATATGAGGACAAATCAAACAAAGGTTGCAACAAAGTGCGGCGATGCGAACGGCGGTGCGTCGTCGCAACTTTTTTTTGCTTTGATTTCAAAGAGAAAAAAACTTAGTTGTAGCAATATGTGTACCGCGTGCAACATTGATACTTTTGGATACTATTAGAAATTAAGATCTTGTTTTTTCAAAAAAACACGTGAGTCCTTCTCAAGTGACAAAATTCAAACACTTCGAATTCATTCAGAACTTCGGATATGGAGCTTATCTGACGTGATCATTACAGATATAGCACACAGTTTGCGAAATAAGGTTCCTTTGTTGTTAACGGCTGGAAGTACACTCTTTTTCGCCGCGCGCGATTTCGCGGTCTGAAACGTGTTAAAAGATGGCCACTCAGACAAATCTGCGGGCAGGCGGCGCGCACTGAATCAGCGAGCGATGTGCCTTCCCGCCGCCTGTGTGTGCAGTGCGCGCCGCCTATGGATTGAAGGTCCGCCGCCTGCGCGCTACAAGAAAAATTTCGGCAGGAATCTGCTCGGATTTTTGTTGTCGGTCTGAATATCTTATGCTTGTTGGGCAATGTGGTTTCACAACTATTTTATTAACGAATAATATTTACAATTTTCAAATTTGACAGGTTTTTAACACAAATTGCAACAAAATTACAGTACAGGATAAGCTGTCTTTGACAGCTGGCATTCAATACTATTAGCTTAGGCAGTACTTACAAAATTCACAGATATTTCAAAGTCAACATCAACAACGCATTTACATTCAAATATGATATTCAACAAGACGTGTTATGAAGTAATGAATACAATATAGCTGATAGTAACAAATGCAACAGTATGATGAGATAACTTGAAATAACCGCCAATAAAATCACTATACTTTGATAAATAACCTGGACATTTATACATAGATATAAATACATAATATATATACAGTTTTAGAGGAAAATATGAAAATGCGATAGCAATGAACAAAACGTGGGCATGCTTGATCAGCCAGAACTAAATGCTCATAGACTTCATATACCCAATTCAACCACAGGAATTAAACAATTGAATGGTGACATGAGGGTATGAGAATAAGAACTGGGATGGATGAGACATGAATAATCCTGATCAACCTCGTCCTCGTTAGTTCTCGTAATGGTCTTTGTTCTGTCAAGGGTTGATTTCATCAATCGGTGCTAGACACTTGCTGTGGCGCTGAAATACAGGCTATTAACAAACTGTAAAGAAAAAGCAACAAAAATTTTGACGAGTACAAAAAATGCAATTATTCACCTCTTCAAGATATTTAGTCAGGCCTGAGGTCCAACGACCATAAACTGTTTTGATTCTTGGCATTTGGGGTCATTAGATTGGTGGCTGAAACACAATAATATGTTTTTAGACAAAATACCTACTTTGGCTTCAAAAAACAAGACTTACTCTTTTGCGGTTGACTTTTTTTGCAGCATTCACACATAGTCATCATTGTACTAAGGCAGTTGTGACCTGAATTCAACACTGCTTTTATATTGTGAAAAAAGAAGAGAAAAAAATGGCTACGGAAAGAAACGAAGGATGCGCAACGACGCAAGAAAGCGCTATTGATTGGAAATGAGCGTCCCTGTGTCACGGGGCCAATATAATTAAGAACCAGAGGTAAGATAAAAGATATGCAAGACTGACTGAGAAATAAGAGTGGATTTGGATGGAATAAAAGAAGAAGTCCTACAAAAAGGCAAGAAAATCACATACTTGATTTCAAAACAATTTAGAGATATAAAAAGAGGTGAAACAGCAGAGTAAAGGTGAAACAATGAACAAAACAATACCTTGTGTGAAAAAAACAAGGAGGAACGAGACGAAACGATTATCTGCAAAAAATTCTGCATTTGCGCGCGAAAGCAAGCTCCCCCCTCGCTTACATGATGTTACAGAAAGTTCATTGCGCGCCGCCTGCACGCACACTGTGTCTGCGCGCCGCCTGCGAACATGCATTGCGCGCCGCCTGTTGGCTGAAATCAGTGCGCGCCGCCTGTGCGCTACAGGGCCACGCCCACAAATCACGGCGCGCCGCCTGCCCTGCTGGCCGTGAGTGCGCGCCGCTTGCGCGCGGAATTGTCTGAGCAACGCACGTATGCCCTAGCACACTTCGCGCGGCCGAGTTTGTGAACTGGATAAACAACAGGCTTACTTACAACAAAATATAACACCAAATCTGGTGTGCATGAGAGCAATGTAGCAAGAGGATCTTAGTAATTTAAAGGCGCGCTCAGCCTTTTCTGCTGGTCTTGCTAAAGGAGTGTAAGCATGGTTACCGCGAAACAATCAAGCCATTATTTAATCACTTTTCAGATAATTCTAAGAATTTTATATACAGATTTAGTATCTTCCAAACGTTGATTATTAATATCCAAATCACCACAACCGGTCCTCTCTGCTTTTTTACACCCCCCCCCCCCATGAAATTTATAAAAAGCGCCGCGCTCATTATTTGCCGCTAATTAGCGAAAAGCATCCTGAGAGGATTGTCGCAACTTCTTTTGCGAGGTCAGGAAAGAAATCGTTTTCAAAGTTTCCTGATTTCAACGCGTGTCCGGACCTGACTTGACTTTTTGCTAGTGTAGTCAATTTGCTGTGAAGTACAATTATGACCATTTGCACAGAGGTGGTGGTGTGTTAGTGCCTTGGTGCAAATGTTGGCAAATTGGCGTGGTTCATGATCGTGGTCACTCAATTAAATGACATCTGGTCATGTTTTCTTTTTAAGCAGCGATGGGCAGCTTACAGGCATGCCGAATTTGATTGCATAAGGAGCCGAAAAGCTTTGCCTTATAGTGGAGAATCAACGGACTTATGAATTTTCAATGCCTGCTGTGCCCAAGCGACATACTTGATGCTGATAATATGATACTCACTCCATATGATGATAAAAACTCTGCCAGACTTTGTTAGTTCCCTCAACAACAGGCTGCGGTAGTTGTCTCATTCTTCATTCATTCTTACTCGAAGTGGGTGCCAGCCTTCACTACTTCACAAGTGCAGTGACTGCCAACAAACCAGTCAAGAAAGATGTTGCGTCTGCGCCGAACTAGTCGAAAACTGTTTGGAGGCGATCGAGCGCTTGATCGTGATACTGAACCTGTGATACGGCACAAGGTAAGCGCAAAAGTTGAAAAGTAATAGATTCTTCAGAAAACTGGCAGACTGGCAAAGGGTACACTTTATTGATTTGTAATGAAAATGTGAGGCAACTGCTACAATCCAGACGCCAGCCCTCCACCCCCCCCCCCCCCACACACACACAACCAGCAAACCAATGCTACTGCATATAGGAACCAGCATTGAATGACGTGTATTAGAATGCCAGCAAACGATGTTACTCAAGCATAGCAGCCCTTAAAAGCAACGACATGGGAGTGGCAGTAATAGCGACTAACGATCGTCTGTTTTTCGGCGACAAATACGCGTTGGATGCCGGACTCCAATCAACGATGCCTTATAAAGTGCTGTTCAATTGATCAATCCAGCCCTCATCAACGTTGTCAAAACATTAGTTCGACTTGCATTCCGGCCAGATCCAAGTTGATAAGAAACCACTAGGATTGAAGCAGTGTGTAGGCTAAGTCTGATCCCCTCCAATTATTGCGATCCTGATTGTAGGCCCCAAGAGAGAAGCATATGCGTTGGTTCGGTCCCCTAACGCTGTCTCTGAATGGAGATAATGGACCTGGAATGGCAAAAGTGCTATCAAGCCACGCCCGGAATCTATCAGCCCTGTCCAGCCAGGGGCTTGCCTCCCGACACATGTTGACATTGTAGTAAGCAAAGCACATTGGCTGAGCTCCTCGCTGGCATGCAGACGGGGGCAGACAATCCGAAACCCGTACGCGCGCTTAAGACACGTTTCCCAGACGAGTTTTTGGGAATTCTAGATAATTTGAACTTCATAACTGCTATCAGCGTCAAGGTTAGCTCCAGAATAACAAAAACATTAGGCGAAATTGTGATGGACGCTGCCTTTAAAAGCACTATCCAGGCAGATCTCGGCGCATGGATTTTTTGCCTGGGGAATGATGGGGGGGGGGGGAAGGGGAGGAAGGGGATCCTAGTTAAGGCACACTGCCAAGCGGCAGCGCAAGTGATTCATTCAAGGCTGAGAAATCCATCCACAACCACTCCGCGTCTGCGCCGTGACCGTAACTCGCCAGTGACTTAGGATATATCCCGGCGCGAACGTAGTGTTAACCTTTTTTGGACGGCCACGGGGCAGATGCGAAGGGTTTTGGAACGGACTTCTCAGCAGAAGGTGAATCTTTTGCGCTGCCATTTAGGCAGTACCTTAGCTAGGACCCATACCTTCGATAGTCTAGAGACAGGGCGCCAAAAGTGAAGGTTGTTTGAGCATCTGACGTCATAAATAGTGAAAGTTGTTTGAAGAAGATCAGAGAATAGAAAATGACGTAAAACAGATATAAAAGGCAAAAGAAACCGCTGTAAACCGGATAAAAACGCTGCAATAGATTTTGAAATCTTTCGTTTGGCGGTTTTTCAGAGTGCCAGTTTTCGCTCCAGGACCAGCAATTCGCAACACGGACTTTTGATTTTTGATGCGTCCTTTAAATTTTTACCCCCGCATTGACGTTCCTGTTTCTGGGACGTTGTCTGGATTGTTGCGCTTATTGTTCTGAGCAACAATCGCCCAAGCTGGAAAAAAAATTGATGCGAAAGCACTGAAACAGAACAAGGTAAAGAAAAACGCACTTTTTACGACTTTTCGCCAAAAATTCCACCGCAATCGAAGAGGTAAGGGCTGGGTGATTGTCAGCATTATGAACAGAAGCAAGATCTATAGAATGCACGAAAAAACCGCGTGAGAGGAGTTAAACTAGGAGAAAAATAAGAAATTCTCGAAAACAAGGTTTTTGCCGGATTTCTCGATCAAATCAAAAAATATGGTTCTAGGACGTTGTCAGCGTGAAAATAGAGATCAAGAGCTTCAAAATGATACATAGCTTGCAAAGTTTGGGTTCGAAACAGCGAAGAAAAGGGTACCAGAGCCAAATGCCTCGCGCCCCGCGTTTGGGGTAGCGAGGTAGCGCGCAGCGCGCGGAGACGCAGACGAGCAGCGGAGGCAAACCAGAGCCGACGGGGCATTTGGCTCTGGTCGTAAATCTCAGCGAGGTCTCAACGAAACCCTGCAACATTATATATCATTCTGATCGTCATGACACGACGAGGAGGACTGACAACGTCCCAAGCTTTAAAAATCACTCACTAACGAGATAGACCAGCGTATTAATGCGCGAATCTCTGCGCAAGAATTAAGCGCAGTCTCTCGTTTTTGCTTAACTCCAATAGCTTTCCTAAACTTCTGAAACTCTATTTTGGTCAAATAAGAGGTTAGCTGATTCTTTTTGACGTTCAAAAGGCTATAAAAACGCAAATTCTCGGTTGCTGAAGTAAGCTAGAGATATTATCTCCTATATTTCCTTCATTAACATACGTTCCGATATAGTCAGGATAGTAACATCCAAGGCGAAGCCCCGGATGGCTTCTGTTTTTTCCAAGTGAAGGTTGTGTCCCCTCATAGCCTTCAAAGTGAAGGTCACCAGAGTACGTGGCTCTATGTATCGAGGGTATGCTAGGACCTCCTCATCAGTTCCCAGGCGAAAAACCCATACGCCCGGATTTGCCTGAACACTGCCTTTAACAGCACATATAGAGTTTTCCAAGTGTGGGTCGGTGCCATGTGATTCGGAGGATTGGCGAGTACGGCTATGGTCTACCATACTTTGCTCAGATATCAAAGTTCAATGTCATATAAACAGGACCAGTTGATGAATCGCTGCCGATCGAGCTCACCCCTTTTATGTCCCTTCTTTAAACTCAATAAAAAATCAAAGTTGTAATGAGCTCTTAATCCACAAACGTTTCATCTGATTAAAGAGTTTTACCAGATTTATCTGCATTGACAAAACTAACGGATGTGGTGTTTAGCATATTTCAGAAAGGCGTGCTCACCATGTTTTTGCGAATTTTGATTAACTTTTTGTTATATTACAGACTACGAAAAAAAGGACCTGTGTTCTCACATCACCATAAAAACACTAAAGTCGCAATTCATATGCCAACATGGTCTTGACCGATGTGTCTATCTACAGTTAGGGATAGCAGAGTCAATCATGATGGATTGCATGCATCGCTCCCAAACTGTCTTTTTAGCGAGGTTTTGGTTTAAAAGGAAGTCCGGTTCCGGCTTCAGTACCGATTTACTCAATAGTGAACCGCATAAGCGTCCAAAAAGAAAATATTACCTCAGTAATTGTGCAAACTTCAGAGTACACCTGCGCGTCGAGCACGAAGACTTTTTAGCCGTCGTACTGCTAGTGAGTCAACATGCAGCAAATGATGAAAGATGTAATAACGTTTTACAGGCGAACCGGATTTGGGAAGAGCCTCTAAGAATGGGTAATAAATATGCTTCAACTGAACAAACTTGAACTCAGAGAAAATTTAGAATGGCAGATACAATCAGCAAAGCTTTTGAGGCGATCTCAGAAGGGGACCTTCCGCAAGTATCCGAGAAATGGACTTACATGAGTCAAGCAAAAAGTTTGGACCTCATGAAGACCCGAGCCAGTCAAGTACCTATAGATTCACATGTATTCTACCCTTAAAACATCTCATCCTAGGTTAAGCCTTTTGTGGAAAATGCGCTACGAAAACGTCCAATCGGGTTGGCCCTAGAATTTCGCCAAATGAAGAGATACAATGATTTTACCAAAATGAAGGCTTTTCTAAAATTCAATAAAATCGGAAAGAACCGCTACAAGGTAAACTATCTAAATGGTCCACATATTATATAGGCATGTATCTAGGACGTTGGTTGCCTCGATAGCAGTCGCGTTGAGATTACGTTCGGTCCATGCAGCTACATTCACGCTAACTATGTGTCCACTCCAAAAAATCCGAAAAAGTTTATATGCACCCAGGTAAGCGCATTGTCATTGTATCGATGGCATGAAGCTAGAGTTACAGGCACCGCTGAAAGCTACCTGCTCAGAGTTTTGGTGTATGATTGTGCAAGAGCAAACCGAAGTGATATTAATGCTATGCAACTTTATAGAGCAGGTATAATTTGTGACAGTACAGATGAAAATTGGATATAATGGGCCCTGGCTAAAACGCTGCCCAAGCGGTTGCAGAAGGTCCTCCATAGCTGAGAATTCTAGTCGCAAGCTTGATCCAGAATCGTATCTATCAGCTACTTTCATAAACTTGTGTTCTTTCACGCACCTATTTATCACCACGTGATGGACTCCATGTGAGATATGGTCTGCAGAAGTTTTAGAAAAAAAGCAAAAATACAGATTTCGTCTTATATACAAAAGGCGATCCTTTTCAGCTTTCGGCTAAATCGTATTTTTCATTGAAAAAGACAGTGAAACAAGCGAGCTCCACCTTCGATCAGAGAGGAAGGGCCAGTCTCGCATGACACGTTGTTCACCGATTATCTTGTCCGCGGCGTTGTTCCCTCTTCAAGAGCCACATTGAAAATTCGCGCAGAGGGAATCCCAACGAAAATATGCATCTTCGTTCCTGAGCTCACTCCAGCTTTCCAGACCTAGATTTTTCTTCTATTGAGACCTTCTTCACAACTTCGTAGAAAGCATGCTCATCAGCTGTCGTTGCTGTTGAGTAGCAGATAATGGTGCCTATGGTCCATTGATGCAAAGAGTGTAGACGCAGTTGGCTTGTCGAGAAGAGAGCATCTCATGCGAATCCACAAGTTGAAGCGATGAGTGGATGGCAATGTCAAAACCTCCTAAGTTCCGTTATGGAACTTTTTACCTCAAATAATAAAGGTTCTTCACCCAGCGTCGCACTTCCTTGCAATGTTTCCGTTTTTCGGAAGCAACAATGTGATATTATTTGTGCTCTGTACCAAAGAAGAACGCAGAGGACGTTTTTGAAGACTGTCCTAGCGTGTAGGTGCAGAGCAGGAGGCAATCTCCATGGTGAGTCAATCCCAGTGGTGTTGTTTTCCACTGCAAGTGATGTAAGCACCTCAATCAATCTTATCAACACTCAAACTCGAATGCTTTTTGATGAATATGGCATCATTCTTCTATTACTGCTTGGTCAGAGTTCAGATTTTGCCTCCGAGCTGACTTGCTGCCGTACTATTGCCCTTACGAGACTCGACGACTCAAAATATGGAATGGATATGCTTGATGATTCATGTTCAAGGTTCCGGCCCAGTCTGTTCTAAGCAAGACATTCGCGTTGACACTGCTACCCCCACATTATACTAAAGGGCCGGGCATACTTCACGCGATTTCAGTCGCGACGCGACTTGGCAATATTCCAACTGTCCATAACTCACTGTAAGCACATTTTAAATGTACAGAAGATAGGGCATTTTATCCATCCATATAAGTTATACGCACTGTGCATGTGCGGAACGCTAGCGCTGGATCTGGATCGACGCGATTTGGCAACTTCTGGCGAATTGCCAAATCGCGTCGCGACTAAAATCGCGTGAAGTATGACCGGCCCTTAAGGAGGTTTAACATAGTGAGGATTCGTAAACTACAAAACAAAACATATTTTGAAATCAGATTAACACTCGAATATGTCGCATGCAGCCTAAACAATCGACATCCTATCACAATTTGCTGACATGGGGATAGCATTCGCGAATCGAAAAAGTAGGAAAAAATGATCAATGACTTTAAAATTTCTGAACGAAGGGAAATTTCTTCTGTGAACTGAACGAATGCCAAATGACGAGCGATGTAATATGTATTCAGAAATCCAGCAAATGTGCCAATTATTATCCCCTAGAAGAAAACGATTCCCTCTCGTTTGAAGATAATGTCAACGTAGTAAACAAAGGTCGAGAAGAGGTAACTTACATAAAGCCAATAACAAACTATGTTGTACATATTATTTCAGTTCACTTTTCCGTTTGACACGAAGATAAAAATCGAAGTGACAAATCTTGAGGTGACAGTTGAAGGTCATCCACCGCGTTCAGTCAAACATTACCACTGGGTCGATTGGCCTGATAGAGGTGTTCCACCCGCAGACTTGGCTCCAATGTACTTACTCTACAAAATGGAGGAAATCAAGTATGAGCAAACCTGAAATGGCATAGCAACCCTGAAGTACTTTAGAACACCCATTGTTATTCATTGTTCTGCCGGCATAGGAAGAACGGGTTGTATGGTACTCATACAAACGGCTATGGACACTCTACAAGAAGGTCGTGAGCTTGAAGACATGGGAAAATACCTGAAAGCTGTAAGAACGCAAAGAAACAACAGCATACAGGTAAGGCACTAGTCTTTACTGAAGTTACAAGTTGAGAGCTATTTCAGAATGACCAACAGTACTTGTTTGTACATCAAGTTCTACTCAATTTCCTGCGCATTGGTGGATGGTTACCTAAAACTTTGGACCCGCATCTCCAAAGCTTTACCGAGGAGTATACAAAAATGACCAGAGGATTTTAATTGCTTACTTAAATAATACAAATGATCCAGAACATATAATCGTAAATGTACGCTTGATGTGTACACCGGATAGAGGCCCGTTTCAACAAAATCACCTCTCACTGATTTACGCCAATAAATTCTTTAGTTATGATGTGGCTTATAGAAAGTAATACAATGATTATAGCCAGAAGAGCTATTACAATGTTAAACATCACGAACTATAGACAATTGGAATACCACCAGAAGCGAGGCGTTTGAGAACGAGTACGGCTGCCTAAACTCTCTAAGCAAAGATTATGGTCAAGTTTGCGTAGAAGACGTACCGCTATACCGCCAGTGGTGGGAACAGAAGCATCACTAAAGGTGTTCTGTATAAGGCGAAGAATCCATTCGAGGCATTTCTAATCCAGCCGTAGTCCGGCTCCTCAGAAATTCAACTACCCGCGACACATGAACATTGGTTAGGGAAGAGGACCCACTGTTACAATATCTAGCCAGACTCACCTCCGTCTCCAACTAAGACATGTCTGCCGAACTGTCAGGCTAGTTTGAATTCATAACAAACCTGTGTGCGAAACCATTATAAAAAATACAAACAAACATTCATTTCTGACATTCGTCTCAGATTTTTGTGCGAAAAAAGCCCTCAACTCCTGGTGCAAATCTCTGTCACGTTAGCCCAATCACTGCACGCAAAGACAGAGGATCATTACGGTCGCTCTTGGCGTCTCGCTGATTGAGCGATCTTCCATCCGTCTTGCCGTCTGCTGTCTTTCCTATTGTACTATCTTAATTGAATGCAATGGCGTGAACTGTGCGTGCGACGAATCGCTTATGAAAATCGTGCATTTCACTTCATAATCATTTTCGCAATGTACCTCGATCTTATGCCGACTAACCGGGCACAACTAGATTTCTCCGCCTCTCCGATATCATGGTAACCTAGACATTCTAGCTCGTACAGCACACCATCTATTATTTTGCCATAGGGACAAACAAAGTCCATTATGACTTGGCTTGAAAGTATGGTAACGAAGTCAGAAACAAACCTCCGATCATAAGGCCGATTTCAAAACTACTGGGTCAATAAAATCTTCACCACAGGATCTAATTGATACCGCGGCATCCGACTGACACATCTTACTTATCATGCCCAGATTCAAAGACAAAAGAGCATTTTCTTACTAAAGTTTTTCCTCTGCTTTCTGAAAGAGTGAAGGCAAGCTGATCTGCGCTCTCGAGCAGATAGCTAGCGGCTGGCAGGCTCTGTTAGGCTGACGTACGTTGACGTAGCCTTAGACGTAGTCGTCGCCTTAGTAGGAATATCTGTAGGTGTGGACAATACACTAGCCTGGTAGACTTATTGAGTCAGACGACTTGTCCGCATTGGGACAGTGGTAGAATGCTGACATAAACAGGCCTGGCACAGTTACTCGACAATGTCTGGGCAATAAAGATACATATATCACAGCAGGTCATGCTCAAGCATGACCTTTACGGTACTCTGCCAACAGAAGATAGGCTACAAAGAGAGGTGCCGATCAAATCGGCACAGCTCCTTAGTGATCGCCACTCGGAGTATGACGCTCCCATAGACAACATGAAGATTCATTAGCTTACTTATTCAGAAGTCATCAAACCCCAGCCCCTTGTTTTTGCCACCGAGATCTAGAAGTGTTGCCTCCCGCACCACCTATACAGGAAAGAGATGTACAATACCGCTCACAGAATGTGCAAAATTTCCGTAAATGTCGCGAAATTCCGAAAATGTCGCGAAATTCCGAAAATTCCGCGAAATTTCCGGAATTTCGCGAAACTTCGCGACATTCCCGGAATTTCGCGAAATTCCGGAAAGTTCGCGGAAATTTCGGAATTTCGCGACATTCACGGAAATTTTGCACGTTATGAGAGTGGTATTGTATACTGTCGAAAAGCACCTTCCCGAACCAACGTCCTTTAACAGGGAAGATCCCCACATTGCTTTCGTACCTGCATCATCGATAAACCAGGCATTGTCGTGCATAGTGATGCACGCGCTTAAGAAATCACAGAAGACAAGCGTTGCTGCAATCGTCCTCGAAGCCCTGCTCGCTAGCACGAAGCCAACGAAACGTTACATGTAGTAGCAACGTCTTTGGCCTCGGGCAGAGTTCACGCGATTCGATCGTCGTGTCGAGACGCAGACTAGTTAGATAGTCCGACAGTCCTCACGCCAACTGGGTGGTGCCGAGCAACTCCAGATGAGCTGTGCCTAACCGGGTGACTGGCGGTTTCCCTTCCCCTCTCATTCTATTTATAAATATATAACAAAGATTCTAGTCATAATGTTATGTTCATATATAGTAAGACAATCAGGGTGAGGGATTCAAGTCAGGAGAGTGCACCTCCTGGACTTGACATGGAGGTCCCGGGTTGTTTTCTTTTTATGATTCACATTTTTTTTTGAATCAATCATTTTTCGAGCATCATTTTTCAGAATCAAAAGAAAATTGAAATTTAATCAGCATTGATTTTGGCCAAGTCTTTGCAATCCCACCGCCGGTACCAGCCCTCATCTCCTACGTCTCTACGTAGCTATTTTTCTCATATTTTCTTCCTTCTTATCTCATTTTCTCATTTTCTTCCTTAGTTTTTGAGTCAGGCGATGAGTTTGAGTTTGTATTCATATGGTGACCTCATTTAAAATAGCATTTTCTCTTTTTTTGATATTCAATCATTTTTTCTTGCTATTTCCGAGCCGTGATCCCCCGAGCCGTGAAAAAAGCGAACTGTGATTTTTCCTGACGCGATCTTTCTAGATGAGTCCAACTCTCTAGATTGAGATTCCGCGAGCCGTGAATTCCGCGAGCCGTGGATTCCGCGAGCCATGATTTCGTAGAGCCGTGATATCCCGGAGCCGTGAATCATTGATATTTTTCTTTATTATTTCCTTTTTTTTCAACTGGGAATTTTTCCCCCCAGATTTTTTTACGCGCACATACAAAACTCAACGACTCTATCGCCACAGCCGGCATTGTACATATGTAAGTAGGTTTTCACACGTGGAAAAAGCACTGTGAACCAAATTTTTTGCCTTTTTAACTGTCACTAGTGGAAAGACCACTGTGATAGTTTTTTTTGACTCCCGCAAGTGGAAAATGCACTGTGAGTCCCACCAAATCAGGTTTTCACATGTAGAAAAAGTACTGTGAATAACTTTTGCCTAGAAGGACTTTCACTGGCCGTTTTTTTATGATTGCCTGTGGAAACCCCAACGGCTACCCAATCGCCAGCGGCCACTCCAAAGGCTCTCTACCAACATAATTTTCAATGGCTAATCACTCACCAACGAGTGACATTTAGCCGCCAGAAGTAGGCGCATACAGCGGCAGTGCCTTTTGAACCTCGTATCCCATCGACGAATGTTTGGGCCAGAGGTATGCGGCAATTGTTTGTTGCTGATTAGCCACTTATGGACTTCTGAGCTGGATGGCACACGTCTCAGAATCGAGTACGGTGGAAAGCAGGTATTCGTCCCAAGGACTCCTCGAATGATATTCTCTACGGAAGACCGAGAAAAATCAGGAACAACTTTCCAACGCCCTACTCAAGTGATTGTCCAAGAGAGGTAAGCTTTATCTAGCCCTTACCTATGATTTTTTTTTGTCTTTTCCACATACCTGTTTCAAAAAAAAGATGGATCAAAAAGCCAAGGTAGGTCACCAATGCCTGAGTCTTTGAGAAATTGTGGAAGCCAGCCATACCTCAAATTGACATATCAGCATGACATAAGATTGGTTTAAAAAGAATCTCATGGATAATTACGATGACTAGCTAAATTCGCTAATTCGTAAATTCGTGGTTGTCTGCCAAAAGAATTGAGGCAAACTTTAAAAAATGAGTCTTTATTCCAAAAAAGGGTATTTTCAGAGAATACCATGAGTTTTAATGAGTTCTCGAAATTGAGACTATATGAAACCCTTATTTTGATGTGGTTGATTGATTTACCCACAACCTTCAAGGAATATACTCGTAATAATCTCCGAAAAAAAATTTTTTTCTGAAAAATCACGTATTTACAACTGCAAAGTTACTTTATAAAAACCTGTCAAGATTCTCAGAAGATCAGCTTTTGCATTCTTGTCAAGCACTTCTGTAACCTCCTCCTTTGTAGATTTATTTATCCAAAAAAAGCAGTTGTCTGCGCTAGTTTTCAGCTATTTCAACACCTCATCTATTTTTGTCCTCTTTCACAAGGCACGAGGATGGCAATCTTACTCAAAATTGCATCCTATAGAATTTATCTACAATTCTCTGCTCATCATCATGTTAGTTCGAAATTAGGTGACGATTTGCACCTATTGCTGACCAAACTTGACTTTTGAGATGTATCAGAGTAGAGCTCCATGACCAGATAAAAACGTTCTTTTTGAAAATTCGCGGCACCGCTTAGAGAGGCGACGCAGTGCTGAAGCGACAAATGGGATCGCGGCGAAGGAAATACCGATCCCAGCGATTCCCCACTTTTTGTCTTGTCGACTGAGTTGACTGTAACCAAAGTCTAGGAAAATTAGTTTTCTGCATCTCCTTTGAAAAGATTTACATTCCTAGAATAGAAAACAAAATCTCTTTTCTGAGTTATCAATTTTTCCTAATCTATTGCCACGAATCAGTACCGCCGCTTCACGAAGCAGCTTCTTGCTATTTGCTACGCAGATCTGAGTTCAGGAGAAATAGTAGTTTTCTGTTTCAGTAGATCAGCGATATAGTTTTCAAAAAAAAAATTCTTCAAGACTCGTATGTTTTGCTAGCAACTTATAAATAAAATTTCAAATCGCTCTCAGTCTTCATGAAAGCACCTATTAATTTGAGTTGCTAAAATCTCAATGTTTCACCAACTTCTCAACTTTATTACACAAGTCTCACTTTCGAAGCAACGTTGAGTACCTTCCTAGAAACTGTCAACTACTGTGCATGAATTATGCCAATTTTTTGAACCCAAACTTTATGAGGTCCAAAAAAAGTCATTTAGCAGCCTGATCATCCTTCTCGGTCGAATTCAGATGTTCAGAGCTCTGGAAAAAGACTGGAAGGGTCTCACTCTGGGTTGTAAAGTGTCACTAACAAATTTTTCAAATGTAAAAGCACACTTTTGCAGCCGAGCAATACAGCTAGTGTTCAAGGCATCTAGCCTCGGGTTCGGAAGTTATCGTCCATTCGTTGACCGTACGGACTTCTCAAACGCTATGGACCACGCGCGGCGCGGTTAAAATGTTGCGAGAGCACGATTTTAACAATGGCGAGTTTGTATTGGAGCAAGCGTTTTACCTCGCGGCGCGTGCTCCGCGGTTATGTCCAGTCCGTACAGTCAACGAATCGACGATACTAAGTGTTTTTTTTCTGAAACAGCTTAGTTACTTGAAAAGAAATTCAAAAAGGTAAAAAAACCTCCATTAATTAGGCGGTGTCCTTTGACATTGCAACAATCTTTCATGGCACTTTTCAAAAAGGTTGCAAGACATGACTGACACAGCTGAATACAAACTGCATATTTAAAAAGTTTTTTTTTGCTTTATCGTTTGGTTTCTCACTTCATCCATTGAAATCTTTGGAAAGGTTTGGAGGTGAGACCTACGTCTTACTTGTTCTCTCATCAAAAAGAGGAAAATACTGGTAAAATTGATCTTTTTTCAGCATCGGCATTACTTCTTGAAACTACTATTCTATACTTTTGACAAATGATCCAAGAGCGTTCAACATAGGTTTCCAAAAAAAAGGTGGCAAAAGGGCTACACATTCGTTCACTTTGCATTTTCGTCAGCGCTTAGCAGGTGGATTTCAACCATCGGTTATCATCTACCATACAAAAATTTCTAGCGGAACATAAGATAATTATTTGAATTCAACTGAATTCAGCCGTGGTGCAATAAACATCCATAACTGTCCATTTCAGAAAGAAAATGACAGCATAAGCGTCGCTTACACTTTTCGGTTCATCGAATACTTACCTTTGATTCAAATTCAGTATTTTTCTGATTGCAAAACGATCGTGCGAGAGTTCTGTACGAATCTCACCTCGCGCGGCTAACGGCGGTTCGCGACAGTTTCAAATATGCGAAAGCGAGGCTTTGAAAAAAGTGCGAGTAATTAACAAGAAGAAATAGTACAGTGGCATCGAAACTATTCTGTTTCCTACTCAGTATTCTCGTATAGCCGTTTTATGAAAATCTTGTTGCCGTCATTGTCCTCACAAATGTTCACCATTGTATCATAACCGATTTTCTGTTCGAGTTTTGGTCTACACTCACATGTTCAGAGCAAGTAGGAAAACAGAAAATATATGCCCCATTATACTGTGTTCACCTTTGTATTGCAATTGTTTTCTGCCATCAGATGTTCAGAGCGTTTGAAAAGACAGGATGTTTTGAGAGCCAGGTAGCCAACTTCTCATTAACTTCATTTACGCAGCGGTTACTGGCACAGAGTAAGTTTGCCGCAAGCGTCTGCACTATAACAAGAATACTTCTGTATTAAAATAATGATTTATGCTTGTTGGGACGACTTTGTCCAGTAACGCTTATGTATATGACCTCTCATTTGTTGCAACAACAACAAATGGTTTATGGGCAATCTTATGACGATAATGGTTTCAACAGTACCCTATGAACCCAGTTGAAACAACGAGACAAATGGTACATGGGCAGCTCGATGACGATGACGAATTCCTAATCTCAAGCCATGGTCAAAGAATGAAAGCTTGGGACGAGCTTTACTGTGGAATGGACATGTCGAGACGCAGACTAGTTAGATGGTCCGACAGTCCTCACGCCAACTGGGCGGTGCCGAGCAACTCCAGACTAACCGGGGTGACCGGCGATTTCCCTTCCCCTCTCATTCTATTTATACATATATAATAAAGATTCTAGTCATGATGTTATGTTCATATAAAGTAAGACAATCAGGGTGAAGGATTCAAGTCAAGAGAGTGCACCTCCTGGACTTGACAGTCGCGATTCAATCGCTACAGGACAAGTATTACGAGTTCATTGATACCGATCTTCTTGTATCTCGGTCGTGATAGTTAGTCACGATTAGTCGTGTTGGGAAACTATCACAATCGAAATTTAAGAAGATCGGCATGCAATGACCTCGTAACACTTGTCTTTAGCGATTGAATTGCGACGATCAAATCGCTTGAACTCTGCCCGAGGCCTTCGGCTTTTCCCCACTTTCATTACATTTTTCTCGTGTATGACTTGGATCCTGCATCGTCATACCTTTAATTAGCTTCCATGTCAAATGTGTATTGATTTGAGCGGAAGAGCAATGACATCATAACGGATCTGGCTTGTTTGCAAATGCGAGTCATCGCGCATCGAGTGGATCGATCTTCGAAATGCAGGAAGAAGCCAGCATTTAGGTCGCGCTAATACTCTGAAGGGGTAGGGGTAGTCCGTGGCAGAGACCGCAGAGGCTTCGCGAACATCACGAACATCAACGGTCGCGCAAGATCATGTAAGGGACAATAAGGTGTCAGCTGCATCGAGCACTTGCCGGAAGGGTGGGTCCATCGAGCCGCCACAGGTATCACTGACACTCAAGGTCGGACCAAGGGAGGGGGGGGGGGGGGACAAAGGGTCGCGGGGGACGGTCAGGAGGTACAATTGGCGCGAATATTTCGCGAAGCGACGCCACAACATACTTCAGCGAATACAACAGCAGCGCACCTGGTGCAAAGTTACTTATGGTCTCGAGTCATGTATCTGTCCCTATCCCCACCCCCTGTTTTTGCCGACGGGAATCTCTAACAGCGGGGAGTTTTGTGGGTCCCAAGATTTGGACGCGGCGGGCGCGGAAGAGCGGTCGCCGCGCGCGGCGTACCTCCTGACGTGCAGCCAAGGGGCGCAGCCCGCTCTGAAATGAATCGCGAAAATTGTGAACTTACTTATATGAGTTACAAAATGGCTGGGAACTTGTTCTTTTGTAACATCTGTAAATGTCAAAGATTTTCAAAAACTCAATTTAGCCCTAGAAAGGAAGTTGGGGATGGGGTACGGCTGCAAGCACGCCCCTTCCCTAAATTTTTGCATTTATAGGAAGACAAAAATTTTTGGCATCCAAAAAAATTTCGGAAAGTGGCAGCCACAGCTCCTATTCGAAAAATATTTTTGTCCTACCCCGTCTCCCGAACGGAACCTGGCGCTGCTGACACTATATGTCTGAACTCCAGACGATTGCAGCTATAATTGCAGCTAGATCTTGCTTGCGCAGTGAGCTGACTGGCCATAGATTTAAAAGTCAAAGAGGTGCTACTAAATCGATTCTTTTAGGAAACAGTACATGAGACGAATCTTCATTAGCAGTGAGAAGGGCGAGATAAGGTAGCTTAAGTATACAACCTGCCAAGCATGAGTAAAATGGTCAGACGGATCTACCAACAAAGTAACAGCCTGGTTGTTTTTAAGTCAGTGAACAAGCGTGCAATGTCAAACCAACACATAAGCGATAGCAGCTGGAGGTAGTTGTAACTTGATAAACATAGAAATACATCATCAGAAGGATTAGAACATTTTTTAAGAACACTCGGAGCAAGCCACTCACGCAGGCAGTCAATTGAAAACTCTCCGCGCTGCAGAGAAGAGAAGAATACTGTGAAAGTAAGTGAAACGATAGGAAACCCGTTTTAACTGATAGTTTTACTAAGGATAAGATAGTCCCGTCCCTGATTCTCGTCTGGACAAGTGACATCTGTCTCATAACCCAGTTTGTGGAAAAATCCCAACGATTTCTCGTTGAAGGCAAATACAGTAGCCATCACCTTATCCATGCCGGTTCTAAACAGTACGTGAAATTTGAGATTGGAAAAAAGAACTTCTTCAACTTACTTTTCGGCAAGTGTCTCCAATGTTTGCATGAGAAGGGTCCCTACACCTTTCTTTTGATATTTTTGTACAACTTGAATCTCGTAGCTGAAGAAAGCAACATTAGGTTAAATGAGCTTAGTTTCCAAGATTGGTCATAATACAAAAAGTCGCTCTAGATGTTTAATGTTAGTTTGCATCTCACTTTTAATGTGGCGAGCACTAACTGGAACTACCTGCGTACAACCCAAGTAAAAAACACGAAAGCGTATATTTACTGAAAGCCACAATAACCACGAGCTTACAGCCTATACGGACAATAAAGATAAAATTTATAACTCACCAGTACAATACCGGACAATTGTGGTCCATGTCAAACCGATAATGGGTATATCCAATTTTTTCTCCCTTTTCATTCTTGGCAATAATAAACCTACAAAAAGAAAAAACTATGAAGTAGGAAGCTCAACATGAAATAAATTCGTAACACTTACCGTGCAGTAGTTGCGCCAAGTTCCGCTTTCTTTGACTCGGGATCCCAACCCCACTGTGACATAGCGTACCTCAAACGATTACCTATTGATCAAGAAAACATTTAGGTTTTTATTATGGATCTTCAAGTGAGCGTCGATGGTTGAAAAGATGGAAAAAAAGAGAAATATTTTAACAATAGAGGATACGACAATCTATACAACACCGAAAAGCTACAAACTCACAACTGATACATGTTTTCCTTGAACAGATCAAAGACCCATGCTTCCTGCTCTTTATTGAGATGTGTCGCCCAATAACTTTCAAATGATATCAGTTCTCTGAAAAAGTATCTTTCAAAAAGCTACTTTATTTCATCATTAATTATTTCATTGACTTCTTTTCACAATTTTCGAGAATCACAAGCTGTATAAAGAATTACGTCTTCATTATAGTTCTCGGTTTATGCATTGCTTTGAACAGGCGAACAGGTTCTGCGAAAATATGTGTCTTCAATAAAGAATATAGTACTGCGCTGAGGCTAGGTGATTGATCAAGATGTCTAATGACTATGACGCTTCTACCTTTTAAAGTCATTATTCACAATTCATTCAAATGATATCGTGCTTATTGCAAAGATCATGCCAAACTACGTATCTAACTCATTGTCTTATCTCGAATCTTTGACAATAATAGTACATTCTTAAGAAATGAATTTGAAGTAAGAACGATCACTTAAATAAAATGTTCGAACATATTCACATTCGAAGTTCGCAACTTGGACTTTTCCATTTTCGAATAAAGTTTAAAAATTCACATAACCAAGAAACGAGATTCCAAATAAAATCGAAAAATCGAGTATCAAAAGACATGGTTTTTTAAAGAGTTGCAGATAGTGCAAAAATCGAAACGACTGCGAAGCGAATTGCGCTAGAGAATGGGAATTGGTACCTCTCGATGCGAAAAAGGCAACATCATGGTGAGCAAAGTTGATAAGACAAGATAGAAAACAAAAAACAAAAACAAGCATGCAAGAAATAGATTGAAGAGGAAACCAACCCATCTAATGTTTTTCTATCCTCATGGGCCGGCAGACATTGCAACTTCTCAATAGGGTTTGCCATTTTAACCGCCTTCTTCACATTTCTTTTCGATATTTCGCTCGGTGCCATTTCTAAGAATAGGGGAATATCCTCTGATTTTCAGAGCGGTGAATTATAGCTTCGGTAATCATACAGAGGACGACTGTATATACTGTGAACAGAGTGCGAACAACATCGAGGGACCAATCGCTTTACTTGCACAGCAATTACGTACAATTTTATACCAAATCAAATAAGTGGACGAACTCAAGGAGCAGAGCTTGCGTCGTGCGTCAACTAGTATAATTACCTATGGGAGCTTCGTGCAAAATTATACAGCTTGAGGTGTGAATGACACATCAGGAAAGAAGAGACAACGGTCAAGAACTACACAACGACAACTAACACACCTGCGAAGACTATTGCTATCTACAACCACACTTGACTTAGCTTAGAGCATATCAGATAGAACTCTTCAGGAAAAATATACATGACTGAGAGAATGTACTAGAGCACCAACATCATAAGCTGAACGATTCACCACAACCGCACGTGCCTTTGATGTTTGGATTTCGAAAAACAAATTCTGAGCTGAGTTTATCCGTGACGTAGTCCATCTCCGTTCCGAGAAGACCTAACTGCGCTTTCGGATCGATCCATATCCGGATACCGTCCTAAACACAGTAAAACATTGGAGAAACAGTATTCAGTTAAATTTACACAATTTCACCTGTACAACTTCTTCATCAAATTTTGCCTTCTCTTGAGCATAGTCTAGGGTATAAGTTAGACCATTACAGCCCTTCATACGAACGCCTATCTGGAAGTAAATGATAGATGAAGGCGAAGTTGACAGAAATCTTCACCTTGAGCGCTTTAGCATCTTTTTGGTTTTCCAATAAAAATCGTACCCGTCTCACGGCTTCTGGTGTAAGTGTGAGCGCAGCTCTAAATTAGCGATATTGCCAGTGTACCTTCTAGTGCATTTGGTGACAAATCAAAAAAAAAATCAAATCAATATTACAACTCCATATTAAGAAAAAATTCAAACAAGAATACTGATAGAATTGAAGGCTTAAAGATTATGGACAAAAACCGAACACTGCAAATCCCACCTGGTTGGCTTTATTCGTGCTACTCCTTTGATAACTTTTGCCGTCGCTCCGGCTAATTTCGACATGAGCAGAACACTCGGTCAAGATTCTGCAACAGAAATCAAGTACGATTACAAAAACTCAATTAAGACGGCAAAAAAAAAACGCGTCGAATGCAGCCTAAATGAGTTTGATCCCTCAAACAGTACATCAACATTCAGTCCAAAAAGGCGCAATGAAGAAGTACCCTTTAATTCAACAGGATTGGCGCTGGAAGGCGAATGCTCGCACCCTCAACGCAGTATGCGTCTCTCTCGGGAGCGGGCTCTCTGGTCATTCTGTGGCCTCGATTAGGCCTCCAAGCCCCGCCTTCTATCCGCCAATCCCGTTGAATCAAAGGATAAATGCTAACTAGTGCCTATGGTAATTACAGTCAATGAACTGGCACAACAACTATTGCTAAATGAGGATTAAACGGCAAAAGTATAAAACAAATAAGTGGAGAAACGAGAAACCAACAAATGGAACGAAAGCAGGCGAATCCGTTAAACTCAAAAATCATATTGATGTAAGTATGGAAACGAAATCTAATGCAAAATCAAAGCTAAGCAGAGAGATATGCTAACGAAGTACATGCTGGATCACTTCAATAAGATACAAAAATTTTTATTGCACAATATAAATGTCAATGACACAAACAATATTTTACAAACGATTCCCGAAACAATATAATGGAATGAGCCGTTGTGGATTGTGTATGTCTCTTTCCTTACTACAACCTCAACAAGGGAAATACTACAAAAGAGGTATGGGATCCACAATAAGGTCTATTTTACGATTATCAACTGTATACAATGTCAGAAGGCACGCCAAAGATCAGGAACAGAAATTGAGCTTTCACGCAAAATCGAAAAAACATCTAAAATAGATTCTCTCGATCACAAATTGATTCCTAAGAAAGGCAACGCTCCAGGTAGTGATCAGACTATCTCACAGAAACAGTAGCACCGCCTGAGGCACAGTAGTAATGTTCCCATATTCATTGTATCGTACAGCACACATATCTGCTGGTCCAACGTTCACAATTCTTGCAGGATAATACTGCAATGGTGAATAAAATTAAAGATGAAAAAGAAATTCAAAATTGACGTGTAAACATAAAATAGTGCTAATTCAACATAAGATTGTACAAGGGCCATACCGATCCATCCGTCCATGGCGCTTTACACTGATCCCCAACTTTCCACTGAGGTAAAACATTTGGGTTTCTAGAAAATCGTTGCTGAGGTAGTGATGGGGGAGGGTAAGACATGTTGGGCTGATTCATCGGAGTGGTGCTTATCCGCATATTGGAAAATGCTGCAAGTACACTATGAGGCTTTGTATACTTGTATACCTAATCGAAAACTACCTTGCATAGTCCCATCGGGAATGTAATTTGCATTTTGTTGCGGAGTTCGAAAATGACCACCTTGGTTCCCGATCGTACTACCATAGTCTCGCGTTGAATTTGGTCTGCTACAATACGCAGATTATTTTCGGGATAACTACTACTACTACGAAGTTCACAACGAAAAAAGAAGTTAGAAAAAGCGCAATTCACCGCTGGCGACCATTCGTATAGTCGCGTCTGCCTTCACCAAAATTATCATAATTCTTATTTGGTGGTTGATGTTGCTGCCTAGATAGCCTTTGCCTATCATTCTGCCCTCTTGACTCTTGGTGATTACTGCGATCATTCTGGAAGGAAGATCGCTGGTTTGTGCTATCAGGCTTTCGAAAAGCGGAGTTTTCGTTGGCTCCTCTTTTTTGACGGTTGTTGTCGCCTGGCAATCCAGAAGCTAGAATTTATCATTCAACGTCTATGACCATCTTGAACATAATTGAAACCGTCTCAGGTTTTTCTGGATAACTGATTTGAGCACTCCTCACCTCTTCGATCATTTGCGCGTTCAGAATTGAAACGACCTTGCCGCGTGTTCTCGTGCCTATTACGATCAAAAGAATGGTTCTAAATTGCAAAAAGATTTGTATGCAAAAGAAAAGAGTTCCTGTGACTGACCGACTGCGAGGGCTCATTTACACGCATTCGTTGATTTTCTACTATCTCAGGCGTATTCGTTGCAACAAAGTCGAAGAGTGTAGAAGGCTTTGATGGGCGAGCAAATTCGGCAGGTACCTGAGATCAGAGCAAAGATAGAGAAACGCTTTTTCAAGAATAGTAGTCAAGCAAGCAGTTCATACACTTGTGATAACTGCTCATACCTCCTCATCATCGCTATCGTCTTTTCCCTTTCCTCTTCTCTTCTTTGTACGACGATCATGGCCTCTGTCACTGACAGGCGCATTCGGTTTTCTAGGCTCAACTGGATCTTGTGCTACTTTCACGGGAGGAGCAACCTAAAAATTATTAGTTGACAGAAAAAGAATTATGGAAGCAAATTACAACATTTTTTCCATCACATCTAAACTTCAACTAGATTTTTTATAAGAGGAAAACAGGAGCAAAAATACCTTGGGAGCAGTAAAAGCCTTGACAGTGCCTTCCTCGACAGATTCGATGATCTCCTTCCGCTGAAGCTCAAAATTGCTCTGCTCCTCAGTTTCCTGCAAGATGATGGTTTTGATGCGTGCAAGGATTCAACAAAAACTTTTACAAGCCAAAAGGTACCTAGAATCTTTTGACAAATCAACAAAAACAAAATCATAGAGTAGTACCTTTTTGACAGTCGTTTTGATGACATCATTAGCTTTGAAGTCACCTGAGGCCTCTGCTTGATTGTATATCTTCTAGGAAAAGGAGCTTTCAGTAACCAATTTCAAACAAACAACATACCTTCCCAAAAGAGATCCACTTGGGGGCTTTGCCATCAGATCTAGCTGTTCGTTCACCATCGAAAAGGGAGTGCTAACAACATGTAAACATTATGACATCTTCCAATGAAATGAGATCACTATTCGAAAAATATCTCACCCGTTCAATAGTCCATTTTTCAATAAGTTTCTCAACACGACCACCAAGTACGGTAACGTTGGATTGCGTGAGCAAGGCAAACCCGCTTTCTATAGGAACTTTGCCATTGATCAACAATTTTGTTCCTGGAGGTGTGTCCGCACTGAAAAGCACTCTCAGAAACAGATGTCTATGAGACGATGATTGCACCAGATGCACCACAAGTGGAATTCAGAAATTATTGTAATTTGACGTTTAGATTATGACTCACTTTATTCCCTTGATGTTTTCCATAATCACCACAGAAAGGGATGTATGACCATCCGTTAACGATAATCGGAACACGTCATCATCGCCTTTTGAATCTTCTTTGATTTTCGGTTGTGACACATTTCTGGAGCCAAGCGTTGTTTAGGCTAATAAATATACTTCAACAAAGAGAAATAGCGTAACCAATGAGAGATGAGAGCGATAACGAATTCAATGGCAAAGACGAAGTGGAGTAACACTAACAAAATCCTGACTACTAATTGAGGGCAAACTTTGTAAGATAGTCAGGTGATAGACAAAAAAGGCGTGAACTTCGATTATGACAAAGAAAAAGGCGTGAACTTTGATTATTTCGCACTGACAGTGTATGGAAGAGATCAATCATCGTAGAGATGACAGTAAACGGCTGTGATTTTTGAAAGCATATGGTCAGCAAGAAAACAATCGTACCCTCAAACTTTTTGCAGAACAGATTTGCTTTCTTTTATCACAAGAGTTGCCCATTGATGAGGAAGATAAAAACATGATTAAACAATTTAGAACAAATAAATTAGTCCACAGTCTATAAAAAGCGGAGAATATGACAACACAAATAAACGTTTCTATAAAATCGAACAAAATAGAAAGCACAAACCTGAACCTAGTAAGCTGCAAAACAACAGGACCAGTAAGCCATTCTTTGGTAGCACAGCTAGAGAGACATGGAAGGGCAAATTCACGAATGTCTATCTGGAAGAGAGATTCAAGATTACTTATCAACATACCGGAAAACTCACGTCACATAGCTTCTTCTCAAGCTTTTTCTTATCCGTTGGTACAGGGTTGCCATCGAAAAGGTCAGGTAACAGACTATCGTTTATATGCCAGCCGGGATCCAAAGTTGTCATCACACTTCGAAGAAAACATTGATGCAGCAAAGTTTTGCTCTCACAAATCAGGTACATATCCTTCCAAGCCAACATTCCCACAACTTCCGAAAGATTTATTGACAAATACAATATGAAAAATCTCATCCACACCGGTAATATACCTAATCACAAAATGCCCATTGAAAGTCTATATAAAACCCAATTTCTTTTGCAACGCATACTTGACTGATTCTTAAATGATAAAATTTACATGCATATGTTACCAAAGCTAAGGTACAAATATGTAAGCAAAATGTAATGCTGTGAAAGATCTTACAACTTCTTCAAAGGTTCAAGTGGAATTGTGTAACAGAAGTAGCTACTAGGACAACCAACTTCTTTCAAAGAGCAATCATGTCCAGCCAATGGAAGATCCTCAAGCATCAATTTCAATGAATACAATCAAAATAGAATAAGTAGAGAAGCGATACCTCTGGCGCTTCAAAATATGTACAGTTGAGTGTGTCATCGTATCCAGGTAAAAGAGCGTCAAAGAAAAAGGAGCCATCTTCCATCGCTATTATTTCATGAATATTACCTAAAATCGAATGATAAGCAAGAAGGATGATTGATACACAGTACTGCGAAGCAAACCCAATCATTTGACTAAGGCACACTGTGTTTTTGTGAGAATGCAATCTAATTTTAACAAACTCAACAAATCTACGAACAATCTGATGAAAAGTATTGGTTAATTCCTAAATATAACTTTCTGGAATCTAATCAAATCCGAATGAAGTTGCAAAGCATCGAATTTCAAGTATCACTGAAGATAAAAGCTGCGTAAAATGATGTTTACAAAACCTTTCGCGAACAAATGGACAAAAAAGTGAAAACCGATTACTTCCACTACATTATGTGTAATATACATAAAATGAAAACAAAGCATAAGAAGACAATGATATTACCTTTGATAGGATGCAGATTCACGCAACCATCTCCTTTCTTTACGACTTTCTCTCCTTCATATCGCACTTTTGTACGCCCGGACCAGTGCTTGCCCGAAGGATCCAAAAATGAAAATGATCTCACCTAGAAAATACAGAATCTAGAGTGAAACTATACCTTAACGATCTTAAATTAGATAAGCCTTCTCTTTACGTTTTATTTTTTGGTTCGAAAAAAGAGATATTGAAACAGTTTATCTTCAATGCATGAAAAACAATTATAACTTATGAATGTGAAAATAAAGCAAAGATAAGGTATTAAAGTTTTGACAAAACAACAACTCCGAACTGTACTGACCTTCAGTGCACCTCGAAGGACCGTGACAAAACCATGCATTGAGGGATGGTTATGCAACGGAATCGCTTCACCGGTGCGACTAAAGCCGAACACGGAAGCGTGCACATTTTCACATTCATATACTAGACCATACAAAACTGGGCAAGTCTGAGCAGCGCACACTTCAACAGGCGGAAGTTGTCCTAAAGAACCAGATTATTCTCTTAAAATTTGATAGAAACTAATTTGGTCAGAGAGCTAAAAATTTCAGCCACAGTTACTACAGTAATTTACCATACATGAAAATATTGTAAGCTTCCTCCAAAAGAGCGGACTGAGATGCGAATTATTCAGCTGAACGCCGTATCAAATATAATATAAAGAAGGATAGCCGATAATTATGAAACTGTTGTCAAGAGAAAAAACTGCTGATATGTCGAAACGACGCACGATGTCACGATTACTTGCCCCAAGGCTATAGTGCATGCGAAAGTGCCACGCGACGCGCGTAAACAAGTGTCAATGAGTCCAGTGTCTACTTTGAACGCATGGATTTCTTCGAGCTTACTGTTGCGGTCTTTTAAAGGTGTTAGGTAAACTGTGCCAAAATTGAAGTCGTTTATATTTTCGTTGAGTATGGACAGTCATTTCACCCAGCCTCGTGCAGACGTCAAAGGATGGGTTACTATGTTGACTGCGGCCATTGCTCGCATATTGCCGTCAGTAGAAATTTCGCTTTTTCAGACGTTTTTTAATGTCAGGTGTATCATCAGCTCCACGATTCGTGTAGAGACAGAGTCGTAGCAGATCAAAACGTGTTGGGTTTTGATAGAAAAAGATAGAGGGATAACGAAAACCAATGTTTAATGTGGGGATTTGACAAACTAATCTTTGCAATCAGAGGAAGTCCGCAACCCACCTCTACACGGATCTTGAAGCCGATCATAACCGATCATAGCCGATTGTAGCTTCTGCTATTCTAGAAACCTTATGTACGGGCTGGTAATACAGACGATCGATATAGTGCCCTTGCGGTCAAAACAACAACTGCGCGAGAAACCGTGCTTGTGAAGCCAGCAAATTATTTGCGACTTGCGCGTAAATAATGGCCATAGAGCGCGCTATGCCTTTTTGGCGCTCAGATTTTGTAGGTTACAGGAAACGCTATAAATCATCAAATAAACTAGGCTATAGTTTATCTTCGAGGTTGAAGATTACCTGATTTGGGTATGATCCCACTAAAGATTAGGTATACATAATTCATGACACGCAAAGACTGGGCGCCGTTGCGTTCGACCAAGACAATTCCTGCATGGGAGGAGACAGCAGATGGTAAGAGAGACGAAAAAGCGCTCGATCGGAGAGACGCCGATACGTCCGCGGTCTTTGCGTGCTATGAATCGCCTATACGATACTGGAAGGTCCACACTTATCTTCGAGTCATTTGTAACATGATGTGCGTATTGCACGCCACGCGCGCTACTCCACGTCTTTTGAGAGTGAAAGGTGTATTTTCTGAGATTTTCCCTTGTTTTTTCTCTCTTTTGGTTTGGTTTGTGTATTAGGCAGCAATACACATTCCCACAGCTTGTTCCGCCAAAAAAGGTTACAGTGACAAGTTAAGTGAGTGTCGTCGGTTGCCGCGCGCCGTGTACAGGCTTATATTAGTTACCAATTGAGTTTATTGAGTTACACATAAAACGTAAACCTCTGAGTCAAGAATTTCAAGATTATGTAGGCAATGCTAAGCAAACAAACTCACCAACCATCGACTCATTAACCGTACCAACAAGCGATATGGCTTCTCGAATAGCCGCAGGCTCGCCTTTGATTATACTCTGAGCTGAGCGAACCAGCTGGCTCAGTACAAAACGTAGCGCTTTACGCTCCATATTTTTAAAAAGTCCTAGACCAAACATCGGCAGTCCATCTCAGAGGAGTGCAAGCGTTCTTGCTCCTATTATCCCCACAATTTGTTAATTAAAACGCCTTTTGCCTTATATGTACTTCAACGATGATCACGTCTTTTCACTTTGTTGAAACACTCACTTAAAATCAAATTTATCATAAAATTCGCTAAGTATCGTTGGATTTATCACCGGCATCACAATAAGGCATTGGCAAAGTGAAAGGAATCGCGTGTGAGAAAATATGAACGAGTGAATGGTTCAGATCACCGATATTGCTCAGAAGTATGTCAGAGTGGGCATTATGCGTACCAAAAAAAAATGGCAAGAAAACACTGAAAAGTGAAGTAACAAATGAACCCTCTAATTCTTCTGCAAAAGAAGGGGCTATGGGCAAATAACATACGGCGTTCGTTCTATGAAAATGTCAAATTCTAGATAGGAGCAAATACACTCATATTTCCTATTCAAGATAAAATTAGCAACAATAAAACATGTCAATGAAATAAGAACATAACATCACAGAAAGGATAGAAATCTAACAAAATCTTCGAAATAAAATAGAATCTAAATCAAAGCATCTGCTTTCTTATCGTAACCTATATGTATGTCCGATTTCGGATCTGGGTGGAAAGTACTCCAAGGTGTAGTCGAGCAGTCTACACTGCAACTGTCGAGCAATACGAAGAAATTGCCGACCAGCGACTGGAATAGCGAAGGATCTGCGGTGGAGTAAATCGGCAGCCATACGGTAGCAATCACTTCCGGGGAGTCATCAGTGTCTGAAGTAAAAAATATGAAGACACAAGAGATTACTTCCGGATATATCTTCCTACAGAAAACCTAAAGGCTACTGCATGACGAAGGCGCAGAAGGCATTAGTTGAGCAGGCGCGAACGCGGCGCGCGCGTATCCTCACCGTTGTAAATCTTGTGCCTAATGCGCTCTGCGGCTAATAAAGCCGCGTTCGCGCCCAAGGATACTGCGCCTTCGGCTGGGTTCATACTGAGCCGCACAAAGCGGCACAGTTCCAGCTTCAAGCACAGTTCGCGCGCTGTGCTGGAACTGTGCCGCTTTGTGCGGCTCAATATGAACCCAGCCTTCGTCATCCAACTGCCCATAATATGATGCAGACTTGTTGCGCGCGGCCCGTTATATAAGAGACTACTGATTAATAAGGCCGACTAACACCGAATACGCCTAGCATTGGCCATTAGCAAAACTGTAGATTTGGGTTTTGATCACACAAGTTCCTTTTTGGCAAGAATATTACTAAATTGCCGATTTCCTCACCTGGCTGCACAACAACGCTCCACATTCCCGGCTCCAAATTGGTCGCATTCAATGTGCTCAGGTGTAGTGCAGCGAACTGTGTACCATATATGGAATCATATGGGCGAAGTTTTTGCGTGGCTATATGCCGTTGTTTTGGGGCACGCCAAAGGAATCTGATATTTGGGCTGGTCTTGGTTTCGTTCACTGTTGTAGACATGCCAGCAACCCGACTCCAACGCAATCGTACGGTTGGCGAGGATGTCTTAAATGAAACAGACTTAACTGACAGTTGGAAAAGCAGAGAAACCCACCAAATCGGCATAAGCAAGAAAACCTCGGAAGATCTCCTCTTTGTGATCGATGTCGGTGCCGGCCGTTATGCTCTAAATCACGCGGCTCCAGGTTTTTTTTTTGGAAACAGAAAAGAGTTCCCACTTCCAACTTGAATCCGTCAACTATAGCAGGAGATACGATGCTTGAGACTAGTCGCCGCTGCACTAGGAGTTGTAAGGGAACATCAAGATCACGAATCTTAATTGATTTGGAAATCATTATGGCTCACCGAGGTTGCCAGAAATTGGCAAAAAAGTGGCACAAAAGGGCATGGCCTCTTTCTAACATCATCCCCCTCCCCCTGCATCCACTGCTAATTGCCAGCTTGCTCACCTGCATTGTGAAAATGACTTGATGAGGCGCTGAAGAGTGAACTTTCACGGCATCAATCCTATCTAACGCTAGAAATTCTGCTTCCTTATTGTGCAGAGACAAAAGCGATTTAGCCATCATCGAAAAGGGCAACGCTGAATAAAAGACTGGTTCATTTAAAAAAAAATCGTATATTATAGAAAGACGAAAACAGAAAACATGTACAACAAGAAGTTCGAAAAACTTCCGATCAAGCCGAAAGTGAGGGGCAAATTCTTCAATGAGAAGATCATGAACAAGAGGAAGTGAAGAGAGATAACTTACAGTAACCATCAATGTCAGCTTTGTAGTAGTTTACAAATGTAACATTAAACATGACATCATTGGTATGGAGAAGATGAGGCCTGAAAAACTGCAAAATTTATCAAACCGAGCTGAATAAGTAGACAACACTTGATCAATTTAACGGTTGTCGCAAAATTACTTCCTGAAACCTTTCTGAAGGTTTTTTACAGAGTCAGTTCCTTCGACAGCTGCGAAAAATTATTCAGTGTTCAAAGACAAACAGAACTTTCTTGCGCATTTATACCACCTTTGAACCTCTTGAGGAATAGCAGGAACTTTTTTGGTTCCTGTTCAGCGGGAACTTTAGAACAAGGAAAAGAAAAATTAGTTGCTTCATAAAACGCGCTATGGCATGCTATCATACCCTAAGAGTCACATCTCACTTTACGAAACGCAAGGTTACGGTAGCACACTGTAGCAGTGCAAAAGGCCGTTATCGAGCAAAGTGATCTCACCGGTCTCTCAATGCCTGTCCTTCAGCCAAGGCAATAGCATCAATGTCGATCAGACTCTCAAACTTTCTCGCTATATAAAAAGGTTTCGCTTCGGCATTCTGAAGAGAAAACTTTTTGGTTACTCTTTCCATGAAAGCAACATGGTGGTAAACATACCTTGATGGCAAACTTATGAGTATGTTCTTTTTTGAACACCAAGGGTGAACAACCACACCAATCGACGACTTTTTTCAGACTTTCACAACGGCACCCTTGAAGATAAGTGGATTGGAGAAAAAATATTGGCACGGATCATGGGAAAATAATGAGCGGGGTTTACCTTGCTTTCTATTCCAATTTGTCAGTCTTAAGTTACTACCTAGAATACTGTGGCAAAAACGAGAATTGTAGCCAAGCTAAAACAAACAAAAAAGAAGATCAAAAGGAAATAAGATATCAAATTTTTGAGAAACAAAAATTATGATAAAGTGACCAACTGTATGAAAAAAGCTTTCCACTGGTAAAATAATGCTGCCAAACAAGGTTCGCAATTTCCTGGGTAATTCATCATCTGATATGGAAAATTCAGCGAACTCCCTATGTAGAATTATCCAATCCGAACCACCATCTATGCGAAGATTTCGAGGAAACTCATCCCTGTAAAAAACTGACCAAATTTTATTTTGTGATTTAGTTAGTGGACCAACCTCTTTCCAATTCTCCACATTCTATTCTCACATTCGACAAACACAAAGTCAAAACCTTGCTTTTGTAGAAACCTTCCCGTATTGTATCCATGACTGCTCATAAAAGATTTTCCAGGGTTGCTGTAAATTGTCATATGAGCAAATGTCAAGCATCCTTAGTGACAAACTCACAGCCTGAGTTGTGTTTCCAGTTCGTTCAGCGTTAAAACGGGAAAATCACTTTCCGATAAGTTGATGAGATAATCCCAGTCGGAGAGGGTTGGCAAGGAGATCGATCGGCGAATGGCATCTGGATGAAGGGAGAATATTTACATGGCAAATTTTAGCAGGCAGTCGCAAAGAGGTTAGTTACATATGTATGATACAGTCGTAATATTTTGGGGGTTTTTTTGCGGAAAAAATCGAAAAAAAACTTTGAGGAAAACTATGGGCGAGCCCTCCTAGCTGCGTTATACTGTGTGTTGATTTCTAATACAAGAAATCTATCACAAAACACCTCTATTCTGTTCTTTTCCACGCTCTTGAATTATCATAAACGAGCTCCGCCCACATGGGGGGTGTAGCCGACGGTCCCGCCCCTCTGCCAAATAATCCTTTATTTCAAGCCAGTATTTATTTGGCAGCGGAAGTGAACTAATCAGCTGGCTGAGGACAATTCCCCTTATGAAATCATTTCTTCGCAAACCCTGTATCTAGCCAAATGTGGCCTTCGAGTTAGATTTAAAAAGCATTTTGGAAGCACATTATTATTTCGGTAGATCAATATTTTTGTATTTTAGTAAACTAGATTATTTTAGTTGTTTTTTTATTATTTTATTACTATTTTTCACAAAAATTTCACCTTGCACCATAGTCAGTAGCGATGCACCTCCCCAAATAGTGCTATGAGCATCTGGCGCAACGATGACGTTGGACAGTTTTGCCGCTACGGCTTTCACCTCTAGAAATCGTTGAAAAAACTTTTCTTAAGATTAGAGGTAGGCAATTTGCACTCTTACCAGTCAGCATGTACAGTTGTCGCTGGTCCACATGGATATAATAATAATGGTAAGGCGAGTATAGTACTTTTAGCAAACGTTTTACCTATAGATAGTCATAAATAATATAGGTCAAAAGAAGAGAGATAGAAATCATACCTGACGTTCATTTCTTCCATTCAGCTGAAGAAGAAAGAGTATGCGTGGTCTTTTAGATTTGCCATCAGGTTCAGCGCCTTGCATATATTTGGCCTTCGGCATTAGATGGGGTTCTAAACGCATTTTGCTTACTTCTGGTTCATTCTCTATCCTAGAGGTGTATTACCTTTCAATCCAGTGCGAAACACTTCGACAGCATTGAAACCGCCGCAAAACTGGGACGAATTTCCAGAGCATCGATATTCCGTACATTTCAAATCGTCCAGTTTTGGCTTTGTCAGAGTATCACCGCAGAAACACTCACGTCCATACTCCAGACCTAGAAACCCAGGGCTACTAGATTAACAGAGATAAAAAAATAGGAAGATGGAATGTAGTAAAACACAGAGCTTCGTTTGCATACATGTGCAGGAAAATGAACTCTAACAAGGGATGCATGTTAAGTCGAAGTGGCCTTTTCAGATGAGATGTATACTATATTGCAGGGCATAAAATGCTGATTCCAAATCTGCTTTCCTTATCTGCTGAACGTTTACAGACGAGGAGTTACGAGCACTATTTGAAGCAAAAAATTGAATGTGCCAGTAGGACAAAGATGCCGTAATACTTTTTCTAGCTCTTCTATGAAGCAGTGACAATTATCACAGCACTTCGTTCAAAAATACTCTGAAATAAAAAAATTTATCATACTTGGTCACATTATTTGCTAGTAAGATTTTAGCAACTCATTTTATCCAAAACGCGCTTTCAATTTTTGGCTACAAAAAACGCTCATAACTCCTCGCCCAGAAATGTTCTGCAGATAAGGAAGGCAAGTTCGGAATCAGCGTTTTATGCCCTTTGATACAGTATGCATCTCATTTATAAAGGTCACTTCGACTAAACAAGCTTCCTTGTAAGAACTTTTAATGAGGTCACGCCCCTAGCCAGACCACACCCCTTTTTTGTGAAAGCATTTCAAGGATAAAGAAACCCCAATGCAATTTCTTCCATGTATGCACCCTTACTCATTTATTGTTGTATTGTTCCATAACAATAATATGTGTGTACCTTACCGTAATAAATAAATCCGGCTCTGTAGCACTGCGATCGACATTTTTCAACAGAATTATCCGTTTTGAAGTCGTAGGCGAATCCATTCAAGGCTCGATCCTTTTTACTGTCCTCGAAGCAACCAAGGCGGAAATTGATAAGCAAGTGTTCTACAAAAAGACTAAATAAGTGTTTCATAAGCGGAAAAACAGACTCACCATGATTTGGGCAAAGGCTTTCGGGAAACTGGTCATGGAACAGATTATTTTTGAGTTTGCAAGCGGCGTCGCTGATCTGAAATAGAATGAGTAATCTGACTATACTTCATTCCTCCCCAATTCACACCTCACAAAAGTGCAGAAATCCTGCACCAGCATTTTTTTTTTACTGTATCAAAAAATTCCAGTCTTCGCTTCATTTGTCTCTATGTGAATATTTTTACTATAAGATATAAAAACAATCTTTTACCTTCTAATTCGCAGTTTCGAATGAATTTTCACTGTTCCCTGGAAAGGGGATATCTGTGGATATCTGTGAACAAGAATAAAAAATTCTACTAGAGCGGGTATTCACCATGAACAAAGGTTTGGGTCTGAGCTGCAGTGTCTAATTCAACCCCAATAAAAAATGAAACAAGGAAATAGTAAGTCGCTGCGAAGTTCAGGACAACCTTGGTCAACTTTGATGGAAAATTGTATAAAGAAACTTCTTATAGACTTACTTACCACCCCCATTTCAAGGTGTTGCACTATTTCGACCTCATACTGGTTTAGGAATGACGGGGGGGGGGGGGGGGAACCGACTTTGAGAAGAGGACCTTGCAGGGGTACCACAGGAGTTATTAGGTTGCAAAAGTAATGCGCATTCTGCGATCATTGGACAGAGCATGGAAGGAGCTTCTTGATAGTTTGCTGATTGTGAGTTCTTTCCGAAGAAGAAAGTTTGACAGGAGGAAGTTGTCGTGAAAAAGGGCCAGAAAAACGCATTACTTTTGCACCAGCCTAATGGAATTCATGCATTTCATTTCACCGATGAGGAGGAAAGGAGACTCGGGGCTTGCAAGTCACTGCACAAAATACAAGCAGCTAAGTTTTTACAGGATATCATGGAAAGTGAACTAACTTTTCTAACAAAACAGAGAGTATAGCAAAAGTTTCAACTTTTCTCCTCCCACTCTCCCTCCCCCTTAGGGCAAAAAGATGCGGGACAGAAAAGTAACACAATTTTGGGACTGCCCACGAGGTTAAAGACAGTGTGGGCAAAATGTCGATTTTGAGATTTTGTGCTTACCCGGGCCTATTCACTATGCTGAATCCGAAAATCCACATTGAAAAGCGCGAAAACGGCAAAAAAAGGGCTCTAACGCAGGAGGGAAATCGGAAGTGGGCGGTGTCCTCCCCACTGTGAATATCGCAGTCCCAGCTTCTGGAGCCATCTTCCCAATTCCTCTAGCGCCCGAGATCTCCACTGGCCAGGTGCGAATGCATGACTTGAAATCGGAACCGAGAAGATCGCTCTGGAAGCTGGGAGCGTAAATTTACAGTGGGGAGGACCCCGCCCACTTGCAATTTCCCTCCTGCGATAGAGCCCTTTTTGCCATTTTCGCGCCTTCTAATGTGGATTTTCGGATTCAGCTTGCAAATAGGCCCGGGTAAGCAAAAGATCTCAAGATCGAGTTTTTGCCCGGACACTGCCTTTAAAGCCAAGCCCATTGAATCCATAATGAACACTCCTTCACTAACATCTACTATTTTAGATCCACATCCAAGGCCATTCACTCGCTCAAGATGAGAAACGAAACATGTGCTAAGTAAACATTGAACGGAGAAAATGTGCAAAAACGTGCACTGAGTGCAAGAACACCTGCCAGAAACGGCTTTTCTGGCTGTTGCGTCGGGTCTACTGTAGGAGTGTAGGAGTGAAAAAAAGCATGCCTCATAAAGACAGAAATTTAAAATAGTTCTTTGCTGCAATTATTATAGGTACAGAATACAAAAACTTAAATCCATTGATTCTAGTACATTTTTATTCCATTAATTGCGCTTCAAATGTACTCAATTGGACTTCCGCTGAACCTGCGCTAAAGATTAGTTTTTACAGACTGACCACATCAATGACGTCAAAATTGTCGATATCTCTTTCGATATGAATCTTTCAAAGCCCTTCCCCGTCCCCCTCTTTTTTTTCCGCAGTGAAGAAAAATGTGGTTATGTTTCGCAAACGAAAGAAGCTACATATCCCATCTTTCTGGAAAACATAACTAAAAAAGAGAAAGCACGCATATCTACTAAGTAAAAGTGAACGCGACGATAGAAAACTAAAGAAAATTTCAAAGGAAAAACCTCAAAGTATAACCAAAAGGACGCTGTAGTTGAAATAACGGACTAAAACGGCACACAAATGAGAGTGGCAGAGTATTTCATGAAAATAATGGTTGGCCAGTTCTCATCGATCAGTAAGTGATGTAGTTTTTCATTCAAAAAATCAATTAGTCCCGTGAATTAGAGTTCAAGAGTGGCGAATGTTTCCAAGACCTTTTCACAAACTTCAAAATATTCAGCTAAAATAGTCTGCTCCATAGAAACTTTTCTAAATTAAAAAAACATGAAGCAGAAGATTAGCAGTCTCATTGACAAACAAGTTTGGCTAATACTTTGGAGTTTGTGAACAGAAAAAGGTTTTCAAAACAACCGCCCCTCTTGAACTCCAATTCACGGGACTAATTGGTTTTTCGAACAAAAAACTCCATCACTTACTGATTGATAAGAACTGGCCAACCATTATTTTCATAATATACTGGTCCCTCAATGAGAATAAAAGCCCATTTTTGAACTTCAGCATGCAAACGGAAATGTAGAAAAAAATTTCTTTGAGGTAACAACCTACCTTTCTCCGGCAAGATTCTGTTTTTGCTCTCGATAAGGCGCTAAGGGCTAATGGATCACTGATATCACATGAATGGAAATTTATAGTAGATGTAGTTGGTCGAGCCTGGATAAAAACCAATAAATCAAAACAAAGCGAGGAGATACCGTAAACCTACCGTTTGCGGCTCCTCTCTTGGCTGTTGCAGCTCCGCCTTCTCGAACGACCTCATCACATCATCTTTCGAGCTATTTTGCACGTAAATGTAGATAAAATAGAGGTTGAGGAAGAAGAAGAGCACCGTAGCCGCTACTATGTACATTGTGCGAAGTATTGGGATTCGATGAGGTGCTATGGCTGCTGCTGGTGCAGCCGTGCGCAAGCCAGCCGGCGTACTGCGTTTACGCATGCAGAACCTAAAACGAGTAATCTTTAATGGAACGTTCGATTAGAAGACAAAGCAAATGATGATTCAGCACTAAAAATGTTGGAAGAGAAGAATAGTGAGATAAAAAGCAGGAAAACAAATGAGAATGATGAAAGAATAACAAGAAAACTCGTAGTAAATTTTCAAAAGAAGGTAGAGATAATATCTGGAGAAATTTGACTTCCAGTTTCTTCAAAAAAAAAAGAAGAAAAAACAGAAAACGTGTTCTACCACACAAGTCTCATTACTGCTTGAAACTAGAACATGCTCAGCTTGCTATCAACATACAACCAAGATATGAGCTCACAACGGTAGAGAAGAAAACACGAAAGGGAACTGAATAAAACGTGCCCCTCCCCCACCTCAAAAAAAAAGGTTGCGAAGCCAATTCACCTCTACAGTAATGCTGATACCTACTTATATTCACCATTTGCGTTCACGTTTTAATATTTGGGGTGAGGGAAAAGGCATCGTCCACCCGGAGTTGAGGATGGTGGGACTAACCATTCGCTTCGTCGGCGATGTATTCCGAAGCGGGAAAATTTCCAGAAAGTAAATGGCACTGTTCACTTCTCTCATTATATCATGTAGTGAATCCTCTTATGTAAATCCGAAATTGGGCTTCGAAGCGTCGAAATTTGAAAGTTCGGCTTTATTATGAAAAAAATTCCGACATTTCTAGGTACTTTTAGCTCGATTTCAAGTTTATTTTACAATTTTCAGACATCTGTGAAAGACGCAAATATGTATCCTTCGCAATTCACCTTTGGCCGCCAAATTTAAATCTCAAAACCCACCTTGAGCAGACGCTGCTTCCATGTAAACTTCTAATTGTTTTTTACTGTAAGTTAGGACCCTTCGCATACTAAAAATTACGGCAACCCTTCAAGCTTTCAGTGTCTTTTTGTTCTTCTCTAGCGCTAATGCAAGTTCAATTTGAATCCACAAACTTCCATGTTATGTCTCTACGTCATATAGTTCAGGGTAAAAACCTTCAAATTTTTCCCGATTGCCACCTCAAATAAAGTGCTTTCAATTTCTTTTTATCAAGATTGAGAGACTCATATATGGCTTTGCAATTTTACGAATGTGTTTCAAGGTGGAAGTACCATTACGTTGAGATGATTGGCTACGGAACCAACTTCCAGATGAGATTATCAAAGGCAGTAGTTTGCCAAATGGACCATTCTGACGGCCCATTTTGGTGGCCACTTTTTTCAGCTACTTTTTATCATTAGATTGCAAACAAGTCTTCTGAAGACAGTGAGCACGCCATAGTCACGGCATTATGATTGCGAGTATGCATCCGTACTTTGCAAGTACCAGAAGAAGAGTAAAAAAAAATTACTGTTTAGAGGAGTCCGAATCAAATAATACACTAAGGTTATAAAGGCACTCTTGGCGACAAATTCATTTAGTATATCCACTACGCTTGAAAAGAAACGTATGCATAGAATCTCAGGAAAGTTTGTTCAACTCAACGACTGCTATAGAAATTTGTGATAGTACAACCACGTACGGACTTAATAGGGGTCAAGGTCGCTGTATCCTTACTTCAGACGTCATTTAAAGCCTTAACTGTTCTCAAATTTGCAATGATTTTGCACCCTACAAAACAACGATTGCACAAAAACTGAATAAAGAACGGCTGATTGCAGACAGAGAAAAAATCGTGAAAAATGTGTTATCGAAAAGCGAAGGGTGAAATGTGAGTGTGTGGGATAGAATTTCATGTGCACATCCTTTGCAGCTCGAGGACGAAAGAGGTTTGGCGCAAAACAAAAAGCATCTCTCAAATTACAAAAAGCATATACCTCGCCGTTTTCCCAAACATGCAAGAGAAAAAAGACCAACAAAAAAGCAGTAAGAGTCTTTCTAATGTAGTAAGGTGTTTTAGATATTTTATGCTGTTTTAGATGCCGGAATCAAAGAAAAGAAGTTTATATCGATATAAGCAGGCTTCGATGAGGATATAAAAAAGTCAAAGCTCTGCTCAGCTTTAATTCTAAAACTAAGCGTGCCATCCGACATCAAACAGATTAATCACTTGGAAAAATCAATATTAAATTTATCACAAGGGCGTAGGGACATCAGTTGGATATCATGGGTATCACATGACATACAACAAGCAATAGAGGAACCACTTGCATTATAGCGATGGTTTTTCCTAAGTTTTCTTCTCAAGTACGTAAGTGATCTTCCCGTGCGCAGCTTTTTCTGATGTAACGTTCAAGTGCTATGTTTCTCAAGTTCATGTCGTATACAAAGTGGTGGCTTGTTCTCTTTAGATGAACGGAAAAACCTATGTAGAAATCAGACCGTGTACAATATTGCAAAAATTAAGAGCGAAGAAATCAAAGGCAGTGTCTCGGCAGAATTTCATCTTCCAGTTTTTCACATTCTCGAAGCCTTCTCGCCATAAGGAATCCATATATAAGCTTCTAAGTGCATGAAAATGGCAAAAAGCTTTTTCCAAAGCTTTTCAAGCCCGCATCTAGTGAAATACGCCGGAGGTTCGCGCCCCGCCTCCCTCGCTCCAGGCTCCGCCCACTTACAAGTATTCTCCACTGAATGCGGAACTGGAAGGACTTGGAAAAAGCTCATTTTCGTCATTTTGATGCGCAGAAAAACCCAAATATGGGTTCCTTATGGAGAAAAGCTGGAAAACGAGATTCTGCAGAGACACTGCCTTCAACCACTCTAAAGCAAGTCAAAAAATTCGACAGGGAAAATAGACTCATATTTTGAATTTTGCTTTGAGAAATGTCAAGATGCCATGAAAGAAAGAAGAAATTACAATTACAGCTCTTCGGATACAAAAAATCATGAGTTTATCTTACAGTGAGTAAAAAAACAAATATAAAGTTTGAACTGGTAGAGTTAGAACCTGCTGCTGTTTCAGCATTTTTGAAGACTGAAAATTCGGGAAAAAACCAATTGGATGACTGTCTCGTCTTCCATCTATCGACGTGATATGACAGTTCAATTTCTCCTACTATTTTATATTTTACCAAAAGGACTCGCCTGGAAGAACTTAACAATTTTTGAAAACTTTGGTGCAGGACTTGTTTTCTAATAATTTGGGTCAGAAAACGAATAACTCTCTCCAATGTTAGAAGTACATTGTAGAGTGCTATTGAAGTTAAATATTGTCACAAAAAAAAATCTCTCAAATTATCCAGTCCAACAAGCAGGATATGAATCCAGATGCGCTCAGCTAAGTAAGCCGAACCAAACAAAAAAGTAACGAATCACCACTGAAGCCTCCGGCAACCCGCCAACTAGACATTTAAGAACACGGAGAACGGACAGTTATAAAAGACACTACTACCGTCACACAACAGGTCCCATTTTCTTTAACGCACGACTAGATGACGACTACTCTCATGTAAGAAGTGTCCTTTTACGCCACATCCTATGCGTTTGAAAACACTATACTTGCTGTGTGAGAGAGAGAGATAGAGATGTGAATCGCGAATCAATGGATCTTAAACAGAGGAAAAGTGGGATGATGATGACTATGATGTGCGATTCGGAAAAGAAACATCGATCACTGTAGACGATACATTTATACACAAACACTCACTGTTGCTACGGATGTTTTGCGCACTAAATATTATACAAATGTGTTGGTGAAAAACAATATACAGCGCGTGCGGATATTTTGCATACTCGGAAACAAGCAGCGTATCTGCTGTGCGAAGTTTTGGACAATATAAATATGTTTGTCATAGATTCCACAAGTTGGCATCCGGGTTCCACCCCGTTCTGGAGCCAGTCCATCGTGCATGATATCTCAGGTAGCGAAATTCACCCTTCTTTTGGTTCCGACTCGTCTTGGATTCGCTTCCTACCCTTACCATATCTCACTGACCAGAAGATCAAAATGAGCTTCACCGCTCATCCTTCATGACTATGGGAAATGTGCACAAACACACAGATTTTCTGCTTCATATATATAGAAATTACATTCCTAGCGCTTGAATAAAGTAAGCAAGGGATGTAGATACATACCGGGGTAAGACTGATAAATCCAGATTTGTAACTCAAACAATTCACCAGTGGCCGTATTCATCAACGAACGACCCGGTGGGTTTCGAAACCCATTTAGTGGTTTTGATGAATATCGATTCTACATCGATATTCATCAAAAGCACTAAGCTGGGTTTCGAAACCCACTGGGTTTTCGTTGATGAATACGGCCACAGAAGTTCCGCAGGATTTTGTTTACTATTATTATGTTGGTGCAAAAATAATGGCCGTCTTGCAAACTCTCACTTTAACGTTCTATAACTTCATAAACAGTCTATATTCCCGAATGCGGTAAAGACCATTAAAAGCAGCAAACCTCCTAATACAGCAATCCACTTATACTCATGTCAAAAGCGGGCAGAAAGATATGGATTGAAAAATAACAACAATTCTTTTCTGAAACCTTGTATTTGACAGACCATAACTCCCTTCAAAGTTTGTTAGTATAAATGGTAAGTTGCCTATCTTGTAGCCACAAGGCAGTAGGACAAAGGGAGATGGAAAGGGCTTGGACAAAGAAGATCTGGAAGAATGAAAAAATAATTAAAATTCGAAAATGTCAGATTTTTCAACGTTTTTCATGAGGTCTCAAGGAACCCAAAATCATAGAATTTTCTAGATTTGCGCAACTGAACAGATGAAAGTTTTTGGAAAAACTGTCAACAAGATTTACGCTTACAGATATGAGTAAGGTGTCGGTGATTGCCTTTTCACAAAAAAATTCGTGAGCCATAGAATGACCAAAACGAGTAACCATGTTGAGGCGCCGGTATCTCGGTCTAGATAATTTTTGAAAAAAAAAATGTAAGCTACTGTAGACTTTTCTTTTAAACATAGTAGCTAGATTTTCGGAGAAGTGCCCTCAATAGGGCTCGACCTGAAAAGAGTGCAACGAAATTTTAATGTTGGATGCTTTATTTAAAGCTATATGTGATTTTTTTTTTATAATGCTGGTAACCGGTTTCAACCACTGCTAGATAGAGCATGAAAAGATTTTCTCAAAATTATTCCAAAGAGCTAGTTATTCCAAAGAAGAAATTCTGACGAAAAAAGTTGTCCCGAAAAAAAACTAGGAAAAACGGCCATTATTACTGCACCAACCTAATACATAAGTGGGAACATTGAAAATAGGAACTCCGGCAGGGTCCTCACGTTAGATGGTTGAAAAGGGGAACTTCCGCAGGACTTATTACAAAGCGCTGCGAAAAATTCACATGGTATCACGCACTTGGGTCTTTCTCAGTAAATGCTTTCTGCTTTTCGAGTTTTTCTAGTGTAAAAAACTTCACTAAAAACTTGCTACTAACACGACAAAATTTCAGCTCAACTTTATAGGAGGACAAGCATAAGGCGACAAAAAATGCAAAACACAAGCAACGCAAAGCACGTAACTCACAACAATGCGCCATGTTTTCAATGGCGTCGAGTAATGTATCGGCCCCGACCCCCTACCCTCCTGTTTTTTCCGCCGAGGACGTTTTGCACGAAGATTTAGGGTGCAAAAATTGAGCTTGTCGTCTCATGTCCTACGCCCAACTTTATGCAAAGAACTGAATTTGTACAAGGTTTAAATTGAAAGCGTAGGATAAACCAATTTTCTGGAAGCTTTCTACAATTAAAGCGCGTGCTGATCACTAAATGATGAACTACAGCATACATTGTGTGATGGGTGCCGTAAAAAACAGTAATGAGAGTGACCATGTGAACGCATTTGAAAATACTATGAATTACGCTTTGAAATTGCAAACACAGTTAGTTCCTGTCTTTATGCATTAGCCTCGACCTCTTCGTCGCTTCGCTAAAGCATTTTGCGTGACAATCGTAATTAGAGCGTTAAAGTGTCAAGAAGCGGGAACTAGCCTCGAAAAGGTTTCCGAGCGCTACATAGTCAAGACGAGGAAAACGCAGCAAAAAATGGGACAGGTCACTAGCTAATGATGACTTCGAAGTCATGCTAAGGTGAGCATACCTGAAGCAGCATTCAATGCGTGCACTCATAACCTCACACGAAGCTACGTTGTTGTATCAGCTAGAGCAGCAGTGGCTAAACATTCCACCAGAGTACAAAAGTTTCGCAAAGTGCATGAACCCTCGTGAAATAAACAAATATGATGCAGAGGCACGAGTAGTGGAAACGAGATATAGAACTCACCGAAAGGTTGAGAGAGAGCGTCAAGTCAAATCGTATGCGTATGAAGGTGGTGTTGATGTCAAAGAGGAGAGGTTGGTGAGTTAAGAACAGGTCTGATACTAATTTGAGGCAATCTGCGGGAGCAGTGCCAAAGAAAAACTGATGCAATAGCTCTTCTTAGCCAAGTTAAAAAGGTCTCAAGGTGAAAAACATCAACTTTACGATGTTTCAAAATCAAGCTCAATTAGCAAACATGAGGAAAAATAAACCGTCCTTAAGAAGAGCAAGCTGATCGCTAATAGAACAGAGTTTAAAGTGCTGAGGACATTACCGGAAATGTTGCGCGACGAAACCGGACGCGCTTCCATAAACAAAAGACAATAAATGAATGTACATATGTGCAGCGCTGCGCGCTCACTGTACGACCAGATGCACTTGAGGACGATGTTTCACGTAGCTAAGTGGGGAAGATCTTTGGACGATGATCTTGAAGAGCCAACCCTTATGTTAAGGAAATCAGCCCTTCACTGAAGGAGTCCTTTCTCACAAATGACTTAAAAGACATGTAGTACTGAAGGAGAAAAAATTGTCAAAAATTCAAATAAGGTCGAAAATGTTGATGACAGGGCGCCTGGAAGTGAATTTCCATTAGACAAAAGACAGCAATCGAAAAAAAAAGAAATCCGCGTGAAACGTGATTGGGAGGTACGAAAAAAATGAGGCTACTCCCCAATTTATTTTCTCTTATTAAAAAAAAGACCGTGGTAAATCTCTTTTATCTACTTCCGCATTCAGTGGTTAGAAGCGCGAGTTTCTTGAAAGATGATGGAACATGAGAAATCCCAATGTGAGAGAAAAACCCAAGAATATTCTTTGTAAGCTGAGAGATGCAGGAGCTGACAATGCCGCGAAACGAAAGGGGCAAGAGCGATCTGGAATTAGCGGCCAATTTATAGACTGCATTCTTCAGTTGAAACGACATTATGCCATTAGCAATAGTTAATGTTGTTCAGGAATGTCGATGAACTAAATTATAAAAACAGCAAACTGAGAAAGTGGAGACTGGTAATTAGCCAAGATGAGATGCCTGCCTTTAAATTTGTGCAAAGAAAAAAACTTTTTGACACAGCACACTCTGGCGATGACAAATGAATCATATGGCACGATAAAAAAGCCTATGAAAATGTTTTAGATTACGAAGATACGCACGAGAAAATCCCATATGGCCGGGAAATGTGTTGCGAGTGAAACGAGGCAGGCACGGCTATAGAACTGGGCAATGACCTGTCTATTTTAGGCGATTGTTATGAATCGATATCGGATACGATCATTGTGATCTTGACATGAGGAAATAGCAAAAGATAAAGAGCATCTATACTCAGGAGATGTAAACCGAAATACAAAACATATGGGAAAGAGCTTTGGAAGAAAAAAGCTTTCGCAGAAAAAAAATGAACAAAAAACTCACTACTATAAAAAACTTGCGAGCCTCTTCATATTCACCGCACTCATTTCTGAAGTAGCATAACTTGCTCATCTTTGGTAATTTCTACAGTGCGTAGGTATTGAATCATTAACAATGAGTGGAACTGCGCTGCTCTTAAATCTTGTATATATCTTTACTGTGTATATTTGCAGACAGATAACAAAACAATTGAAAGTACACAAAAATCTAACAAGATGCAATCTAACAACTAGTTGTACAGCACAGGAAACAGTTACAATTACAGATACCAATATCTTACAACAAAGAAATGTTATCACAGAAAAACAAACTCAAAGCGAAATACCTCGTGTATGACCCAAAAAATACAAAAGCGCGTGGTTAACTGCCTTGATGATGACCAGCCGCTGCTGTAGGAGGAAGAACGGGTGTCTGACCGAGGATGAATGGTCGAGGAGGCATGAAATCCATTTTTTCCTCCTTGGATATGGAGTAGAAATCCAAGACCTGCTAAAAAGTTACTAGAAGGGACAGAAAATAGAATGTCAAGCTAATAATTGCTCATGTTTTCCCATCACCAATCAACTGTTACAAATCGAAAACTAATCAAAAATCGTCAGCCGTCAGTCTGATTCACAAAATATTCTATGATACTTCATAATGTCTTTGAGAGAAACTGGTAGACTTGAAACATTTGGTGATCGGCTGATTCGAGCAAAAAGAGGCAAGAAAGAAACATCTCGAGAAGTAGAAACTCTTTTGGAACTTTTCGACTACAAAACAAGTCAGATAAAGATTATGCAACAAAATAAGTACCTTATGACAGATGTCATCAATCAAACTATTGGACAAGTTGGCGATGTATTCATTCCACCAACAGTCGGGCAGTCCTATGTTCACTTTTCGCACAGTGATGGACAGATGAAGCAGTGCAACAGCGATGACCTGGAGGGAGAGGAATGAGGTGGGATATGAGATTGTAAATATATACTCCTACCTGTGGCTCCCAAATTAGGCACAAAACTGTGAAAGCGCTATCATTTACGAATGTCCACGATGTATGAACGAGATTATTAATCTAAAGATTGGAGATTCTTGAAGACGATAAATGTTGAGAAAAAATACCTCAGGCTTTGTAAGCTTGAATTTCTTCGAGTAGTCGATAAGATATTGATATGGTAAGTCCACTTGCAAATCAAACTTCATTGTTTGTAGCAACACACGTTCGATACCCATGATTTCGTCCTGAAAGTGGAAAATCGTAAGTCACAGGTGCTTCGCATTTTCACAGACAAATCCAAGATAAGAACATAGGAATTCATATGGTGACTGCCGTTCCTTACAAAAACTCACAACGAAAGCGTTCCGATTCTTATTCCCATAAACGCTTGGGAACACGTTCTGCGCTGCAGTGACTATATCCTTGCATTTCTTTGGCGTTTCTGAAACTTTGCCGGCAAGGAAGAGGCAACCCATTGCTGTCATCTGAACAAAGAACAATTCGACAGAAACCACAAAGAAGAAGACGTACCTCTCGAGGAAAATCCTGAAACGTATGAAACATATAGAACCGATGAAAATATACAGCTGCGGTTCCTATCGTAGGCCACGCTTTCCTGCAAGAAAATGAAGCATGAACTATGTTCCTACAAAAATCACTGTAGTACTGAAGTTCAGAGAATAATATAATGTTTCTATTTTGGAGCCAAAATTACTTTCTTCGCCTTTAGACCTCTCCAGTAATCTAGAGCAAGGTAAAAGTGCAAGTCATGTTAACGCTCAAAAGAAAACATTCTAATAAGACAGAATGACGGACTGGAAGTAACAAGAAAAGTAACGAGCAGAAACAGATAAACACACGAAATGAGACAAATAAAAAAACTAGCCACACTCACGCTCTTACTCCGGTGCCAACTTCCATAATCAATCGTATACCCTCTCGGCGTAACTTTGCTTCATTTGAGTGCGACATCCCTGCTCTGACTGATGGGGTGTCCTGCAAAAAAATTCAATTGTAGTAACAAGCTTTTGGTCAATGATTAATGTGATGAAACTGCTCACCTTCACCTCCTCCGGAGACCACAACCAATCTCGCATGTCGGCTAGAATTCGTTATGATCAACTAAGATATAAAGTATGAAAGAGAGTAAAGAATAATGCACACAAAACAAACAAAGAGTTGCGACTACAGATCAACGCAATTCATGGCAAATTTCCAAGTGACGGACGCTCAAAAGCATTGACCGCGGCGCCGCTGCTTTACAATCATAGTATCATTAGAGCGCATCAGTCAACATCGACAAAAACGTAAATACGGCTCCGGGTCAGGAGCAGGGTCAAGCTTGGGGTGTGGCACGACACCTGGGAGTCGTAAAGGGGTCAGGGAGGGGGGGGGGGGGGTAACGTCGTTATCAAGGTAATGTTGGCAACTTGATGTCAGTCAACAATGTCTGATAGGTCCATTCTGCAAGATACTAGCACTGGGTTTTGGCCTACCGTCGTACACGTACAGTAAGCACAATAAAGGAATTCTAAAAGCATAAAAGCATCATTCTCGTAATTAGCATATCGAATAATCCCTGTGAGCCAAGTTTCAGCGAATTTTGAGTTTCCAAATATTGGTACACTCAAGTGAGGTGGTCATTTTCAAACATGTCAACTTGGCTTCAAAGGTAAGTAAACTACTTTTTTCTGCACTCAATACAAAGTACTACTACTTGCTCATATTAGGAATTCCACTTCAACAAAGGCTGCGTTCATACTGAACCGGGAGTTCGGAAACAGTTTTAGCACAGCGTTTGAACTGAGCGCTGTGCTAGAACTGTTCCCGGACTTCGGGATCACTATGAACACAGCCTAAAATTCGCACTCCGGAATTGAGAGCAAGACAAAGTCTCGCTTGTCCCGTTTTTCGCTCTCAATATCTCAAACTAGAGAAGACCAATCAGGCTCAAATAACTTTTTATGAAAGTTACTAGGATTAGGCTATCGAATATACTTGTTCTTGCCGCCTTCCCTCGCGATTAACGTAGTAGCACAGACTTAGCATCTTGCCGTAATCCAATATTTTCGCAGTGTTTTCCATTTGTATAGCTATGGAAAAACGACTATATCTTTCCCTAGGAGCACAGGTGCGATAGTGTGAGAATTTTCTCACCCTCCCTTCATCCCTGAGCCGGGACCAAGATGACCCCCTTCACCAAAAGCCGAGAAGAATAATCAACAGTGAGGTAAGGTTAAGCAAAGAAGATATTTGTACGTGAATTGTTTATGTATAGGAAGGGAGGAGTTTGTTGAAAAAAGGGCTTGGTGACGGTGTGAGTAATGATTTCTGGAGATTTTCGAGTTTTTAACATAAAAAAATTCATAACTTCTGTAGTTGAACATCTTGTACGCCTTGATGGTCACCATTGGAACCGTTCCGTCCTCCGCTTTCAGAAAATGTAATGAACGTTTGATATCCATTCAAGAAAGTGCAGTGAAGGGTTTGCCTAGTGATTTTTAAGGATTTTCGATTTTTTGACATAAAAAATTAATAACTTCTGATGATGAACATATTGTACGTCGACATGGTCGCCGTTGGAACCGTCTCATCCTCCGCCTTCAGAAAATATATAATATGTTTGGGGTCCGTTCAAAAAAATGCCAGGGTGAAGGGTGTCCTAGTGATTTTTGGAGATTTTCGAGTTTTTAACATAAAAAATTTTATAACTTTTGTGGATGAACATCTTGTACGCCGAGATGGTCACCATTAGAAGCGCGTCGTCCTCCGCTTTCAGAAATTATATACACTGCCTGGGGTCCGTTAGAAATAGTGCCGGGTGAAGGGTGGGTGAGACTTTTATAATGGGAGTGCTCAAGTACGGGCTTTTTTACCATTGTAAAAAGACGTCTACTTGAGCACTCCCATTATAAAAGTCTCACCCACCCTTCACCTGGCACTTTTTTGACGGACCCCAGGCAATGTAGATATATATTTTCTGAAAGCGGACGACGAGACGGTTCCAATGGTGACCATCACGGCGTACAAAATGTTCATCTACAGAAGTTATGAAATTTTTTATGTTAAAAACTCGAAAATCTCCAAAAATCACTAGGACACCCTTCACCCAGGCACTTTTTTCAATGGACCCCAAACATATTATATATTTTCTGAAGGCGGAGGATGAGACGGTTCCAAAGGTGACCATCACGGCGTATAAGATTTTCATGTACAGAAAGTTACGGATTTTTCTAACCTAAAAACTCGTAAATATCCAGAAATCACTACCAACACTCTTCACCAAACACTTTTTCAATAGACTCCAGGCAAGCTATATACTCTCCGAAAGCGGAAGACAAGAAAGTTGTAAAAACCTTTTCATTGCTGACGTTGCTGTTCATGTATGATCGTCTCCACGATTCGTGTAGAGGTGTATTGCAGACTTTGCCTGATAACACAGGTAAACTTGTTAAACCTCTACGTCATAGCATTGTTTCTTGTAGTCTCTCGCTATCAAAAACCGCCACGCTTTGAGTTGGCAAAACCCCGCCTCTACACGAATCGCGGGGCCGATGATACATAAGTTACGAATTTCTTCTAAAAATTCGTAAATGCTTAAAAATTGTATTTCTTTCCCGAAACAGATGTTCTCGCATACACATCTTCTATGGTATTTTTGAAAACATATAGGATTGTTCCAATTCTATCAGTTTTCACATTTTGGTAAAAAAGACAACCAATGATGGCCGAGAATTTAATATGATAAACTTTTATTTAGAAAATAAGAAAACACCATCACCTTCTCCTCTCCCCCCCCCCCTCCGGTCGGCATTTTATGATTTCTCGATCAACTGAAACACCCTTCACCCTGGAGGGACTGCGACCACTGTGACCCCCTTCACCCTGGAGGAGTCATTCTCACCTTATCGCACCTGTGCCTAGGAGAAACAATTTTGAGTGATTCCTACTATGCGGAGAAGAGAGTTTAGCAGCAGCAACCGTATAAAAAAGACAGATTTGAATGCTTTGAAGATAAGTTAATGGGTGTGGTGGGTGTGGCACAACCCCTAAAAAGCTGTGGCGGCCACAGCTTTTTAGAGGTTGCGCCGCACCCCATTAAAGGCAGTGGATCGGCAAAATCCAAAAACTCAGGATTTTTACGCGGTAGGTTTCTTATCGCTCAAGTATGAAGATAGTGCAAGCCCGGTTGCACAGCATGCTTTCCCTGCCGAGAAAATCGCTCTCAAACTTACACGCGCAGGCCAATCTTACACGCATCTGGACGAGGGCAATTTCCTTCTCACCCTCAGACACTCGCGGTTGACTCGCGCAGGGCAAAACGATGTGTAGCCATTGAATGCGTGGGCGACTCGCGAAATCGGTGTCGCGGCAAAATCAGGACACCTGATTTTGTGTCGCGGCAAAAGTGCGCGGCAAAATCGGGGCAAAATGGGGAGACCTGCGCGAGACACCAAAATGTCGCGATCGCGTTCAGAGCACGCGGCCTACGCCCTTACTGACAGCTTTTTGCGTCCTCTAAACCTTCTCTCACGCCTTCCTTTTGACTTACCTTGAGTCCTTGGTCACGTTGGGTCCCGTTTCCCACGCTTGTTTTTTTTCTGCTGATAAACCCAGTCTTACGTCATAAAATTTATTAGCAAATACCACATGATCTTCTCGAGTAACGTTTACAATAACATCGAAATGAGACAGGAATCAAAGCACCGCAATCACGACACAAGGTTACGAAAGAACTACGGTTAAGAATGACAACAGCATTAATTTTTTACGACTACTTCATCTTCATCTTCAACGTTTTCAGTCTTCTGGATCGTTACGCCTTCTTTGGTAACACTGCTGCCTTCGACCATGACGCGCTTTTTCTGAAAATAAAAAATTATTGTTACCAGGATCGTATGAAACAAACGAATTACCTTTGATGGAAGGAGCATGGACCTATCAGGGTCAAAATGATACCTCCCGATGTCTTCCCTGCAAAAATATAGTTCAGAAGTATCGCTTTCCTTATTAGAAAACTCACAAAGCTCTCCCATTTGCTATCCTCGCCTTACCGCTAGTAATGTACTCAAACACACATTGACCCACTTATTAGGAAATCGACTAATCCTTCCAGGAGGTCCTTAAGATGGTCAAATTTCTCCTTCTTCCCGCTCTGTCTACAGGCGTACTGTTGAATTTCCGTAGGTGGTTCGCAGGCCTAAACGGTGATTACAAGACGACCTTATCATCTTCATCTATCTGTCGCTTACATTTAGAAAGAAGTGGCGCAAAAAGTCGAGCACCAAAAGGAAATGATCATGCTTGTGCGCGCGTTTTGGTCTCTGCCACTTTTCCATGACTTCAACCATATTGAACTCCTGAAACCAATAATTTTTCCTCGTTGACTGAGAATAGTGGCTAAAGACCTTGAAGGGTGGTGCACTCTCACGATGCCAGATCAACGTGTTTTTATATTTAGTATCAAACTATTTATGAGCATGTGTGGCAGTTTATCACAGAATGCTCAAAACACAATAACGTGATTCAAAAAATTGCTCTGAGCTTGCTCAAAGCCTTTGCTCCTTTCGAGTGGTTTGCGCAGAACTTCGCATGGACCGAACTTTCTAGCTAGCTACCCCACTACCACCTGCGGCGAAAACATAATTGCAAATGATGAATAAGCTTCCCATCAAGTATCCATGTTGATTGTACCTGTTTTACATGTTTTTGATCCAACTGATCTACCAACATTGCCCAATTCAGAACTTTGCACGATTTTTCCATTATCTCCGAGATTTGATGTAATTAAGTTGCAATGAGGGTTTCCTTGCCTTAGGGACCTTCTAATATAACCTTAAACAACTTGCAAAGATTGTGGCTGCAAAAGTGGTCCGAACTCTTTACCACTTGCTCCATAGTCTCCGCAGGTATCCACTCGACCACCCGTCCACATCTGCATGCCCTTGGCGCCGCAAGCTCAATGCGAGCCTTAGCCGCATCTTGGGTAAGCCATCGCTCATAACTTTGCCCAGAAAATCATTGAGCAGCTAAGGATCACGAATTTGGCATTAGGGCCCCAAGAGTAGCAGAATGATATGCATCATGTGTGGAAACCCCACTTCGATGGATGATCCTTCCCGTAAGTA